CAGTCAATGCATTTTAGCCGTTCTCACACTTCAAGCCGAAGCAAGGGCTTGCGTGATTCTCAAAGGGCAACTTGTGCGCATTGAAAACTTTTCTATTGAAAATCCCAGTCTTAGCCCATTCACAAAAGTGCCTCTGGCTGGCTCTTTCTTGGCTGCTGCCCTAGTTGCATTCACTGAATAGAAAAGGCACTTTGCAAAGAGCTGCAGGCTGGAGGAGGATGGGTGGGGTGGGGAGAAGGTCCCGGGTGCACTGGGCTACTCAGCTGGCAGGAAGCTCTCAGAAAGCAATCAGGAATTGCCTTTACCCATCCTCCAGCAGCTGTCCCCCGTGGTTCCCAGGCACCGGGCTTGCCGTGTTCCAGGTGGCCATGCATTGTGTATGTAACCCTGCCCCCCCACGGTCAGTGGAGCAGGTGATGCTGTCACAGCCCAGGAGCCTGAACAATAGGGGGAGGGTCACCCACCTGGCCCCTCTGTGCCTGACTCCAGCCAGCTTCTGGGCTAGAGCCGCATGGGAGGGGACTGTACCACTGCAGCCTGGACCATTCTCACTGTCACACCATTCTATGCAGAGAGCCACAGGCCCAGGGCATCCCAGGGTCAAGGGGCCATGACGTCAGAGTGTCTGTGAACATCCCAGTACTTTATATCAGGTCTGGTGTTTATTGCAATAGGGGGCGGGTCTCCCATATGGGTACAGGGTCCCGAGACTTGGGCTGTCCTCAACTGCCTTCCCAGGCCATAAGCAGGGAGCTGGATGGGAAGTGGGGCTGCTGGGATTAGAACTGGTGCCCATATGAGATCCCGGTGCATTCAAGGTGAGGACTTTAGCCGCTAGGCCACGGCATCGGACCCATCAGGTCTGCTTTGTACAGCCAAAGGTATTAATATGGAAGTGTGACTGTCAATTATGGCAACTTCTATTGGAGAAGATGCATTAAAATGACCTCGGTTTGTGTGTGTGTCTGTGGGGCTAGGTGGCTCAGAACTTCAAAGGGGAACTATTTATCCCCTGGGGTTGCAACCAGTTCATCTTTATGAATGACCACTGAGATTTTGTGTGGGAAACTGCAAAAAACTTAAGGCTCCCTGTGAAAGTAGCAGGTAAAAAACTTGAAAAAATAAAGGAACCCATTTTCCTCTAACTTCCATTCCTGGGAGGGTGTTCCTCCTACTAAGATGGCTGTATCGAGGATTCATTTAAGATTCAGAAAGATTGGGCCTTGCATTGTGGCCTAGTGGCTAAAGTCCTCGTCTTGAAAGCGCCAAGCTCCCATTTGGGAGCCAGTTCTAATCCCGGTAGCTCCACTTCCCATCCAGCTCCCTGCTTGTGGCCTGGGAAAGCAGTTGAGCAGTTGAGCAGTTGAGGGCCCAAAGCCTTGGGGCCCTGTACCTGTGTGGGAGACCTGGAGGAAGTTCCTGGCTCCTGTCTTTGGATTGGCACAGCACCAGCTGTTGCGCTCACTTGGGGAGTGAATCATCGGACGGAAGATCTTCCTCTCTTTCTCTCCTCCTCTCTGTATATCTGACTTTGCAATAAAAATAAATAAATTAAAAAAAAAAAGTTCAGAAAGATTCTTCCCAATTTCCTGCTAACCAGGCTTCACCACTGCAGGCATTTTAGGAGTGAATTAATGGGTAGAAGATCTCTCTCTCTCTCTCTCTCTCCCCCATTGCCTTTCAAATAGAATCTCTAAAAATTTTCTTTTTTTTTCCTGACAAGCAGGAGTTCCTGACATTCTGCTGATAATCAGCTTTCAATGCAACCTGCAGTACCAGAGTAAAGCCCCCGCCTCCCCTTCCCGGCCAACTCAGGGCAACGACGAAGGGCAGATGAAGGATGGAAAGGTTAATGGGGGGGTTGTGCATGCTTGTGGGGGGTCCCTTTGTGCTGCCGAGCCGCCAGGTAGCGCTCTCCTCTCCAGCTGGCTGACCCCAGCCAGCAGCCATGAGGGCCAATGTGGGACCTGGCGTGTGCAGCTGCAGTCGGCTCAGGCTGTCTAACAATGCCGTCGGCGTCACCCTTGAGCTGTCCCTCCTGTCAATTCTCCCCTCCACTGTGAACTCGGTGGCTTTCAGCTTTCCCAGTGCTAGCTCTGCTGGGGAGCCCTGACGTAGACTGAACTTGGCCACCTCAGGTCTTCCCTCAGCACCAAAGGCTGTCTGGCACCACAGAGGCTGGCCCAGCCTCTGTACTGTATGTGTGTGCAAAGGAGGCAGTCTATGCATAATGCATGTGGCACTGATTATGCAAATCCTCAGGTTCCCTTGCATTTTCCAGCCAGCACCACAATGGGCTTTGTGGGGCCTGTGCTGTCCTGCTCTGTTCTTCGGTGTTTCTGTTTGGAGGGCCCCCTGGTGAGGGGGGTGGGGCACACCTCAGGAAGGGCTAGGTTCTCCAGAAGGACACATCAAAGGACATGTCAGAGCCCTGTCCCTGCCCCAGCTCTCTGTGACGCGGCACTGAGTGAAAAGGAGCTGTCCCCTGCCTCAGGCAACCCCGGGACTCACGCAGACTGTGATGTTTAATTCAGAGGGATGGATGCTCAGAACGCCACACTGGGAACCCTCGGAGCAGGCCAGCTGCTCTCTCTGCTGCCACCATGAGCCAGGGAACCTTCCTGGGGCTGGGGAGAGGGGAGTGGGGGACTAACCTCTGTGGGAGGGCACTCAACTGCCACGTGCCTCCTGGGGAGTAGAGGGCACCCCCTTCTTAGGCAGGCACCCCCACACCCTGCTCATACACACATATCCCACATGCAAACTCTCCTGTATGTAGTATACACTCACATGCATGCACACACATGCAAGCATGCTTTCACACACAGCTCCACAGTCAGAAAAGCTAAGCATGGCCAGGAGGACACCAGGGGCAGCCTGGCACAGAGCATAGGAACTGGCATGAATGAGCTCTGAGATCAGGTCCTAGGCCGACTCCCCAGTTCCTCTGTGAACTCGGGTGGGGCTCTTGATGCTCTGAGGCTCAGTTTGTTCCACTGTAAGATGAGATCATTGCACCAGGCAGGGCGATTAGAGATGCTAACGAACCCAACTCCAGCCACAAAGCATGACGGAGCCCAATGTCTGGCAGGTGGATGGTTACGACGGGATGGAGGTGGGGTTGTTGCCCTTGTTTGCTGGATCCCAGACTTTAGATTGGCTTTGGCCCAGGCAAGAGTTAGGAAAATTGAGTCTGTTTTGACTCACAAGTCACAATCTCAGGCCATGGTAGGATGCCTGCTTATGGACAGCAAGGATGGACAGAGAAGCATAAATTGCCAAGAACATCAGTGGACCCTCTGCTGACCGTGCTGCAGGCACAGGCTCATGAGGGAACTCCTGACACAGTGTGGTGAGGCCTGTCTCACCATGGCGAACAGCAGACAACAGCAGACCCTACTGGGCTGGATTCAGGCAACAGACCTCAAGCACAGGTGACTGGTAGCATGAGGGGCAATCACCACCTGCTGAGCTCCAGATCCTGGGCTAGTGCCTCTCATCCCCGGACCCCACTGACTTGGCCCCCAAGCTCAGACAGTGACCAATGACACAAAGTCAGAGATGCTACCCTGTCCAGTGGTGGGCTGCTTCGTCATGTGGTCTGTACCAAGACAATGTGTCAGGTGAGTCCATCGTGTGGATATCATGGAGTGGACATACAGAGGTTGTGTTGGCTGTGATGTCCCCAGGTGCTGTGATGCCATGGGATTGTCATAGTCTATCAATCTGTTGCTGACTGAAGCATCAATACATGGGCCCTGGCCACATTTAGCCCCCACTGCAGCCCTGTGAGACGGAGGCTGTCTGCTCCCACTTGCTGTTGAGCAAAGGCTCAGAGATGTGAGCAGACTTGTGTGTATGTCGGGGGTGGTCACACAGTAGTAAATGGGGAAATCTGAGCCAGGATTGGTTGACTCCTGTACCATGTAGCAGGTGAGATACTGGGGTTGGAGGTGACTCTTGAGCCGCCAACCTGGGACTGGAATTGCTTTCTAGAGTTTGTACTATGTCTGACTCCTACAGGGAAGTAATTTTCTTGTCATTGTGCCTCAGTGGCAACATCAGCCTAACTGACAAACTCCACCTACCCTTCGCAACTCAGTGTAGCAACCATGGCTCTGGGAAGCCCTCCCTGCAAGCTCTGGGCTTGGCTGAGTTCCTTCCCCTGTACCCCATATCCTTAAGTCCCCTCCTGATTCAGCCTTAACTCAATTCAATCATCCTGAAGTCAACTCTTTCCCTGTCTGTCCCACACGGAAAGATAGGCTCTTTAATGATATCCATCCACCCATCCATCAGTCCATTCATTAATTCAGGATCCATCCATCCAGCTGTCTACCCATCCAACCACCATCACCCTGTCTAGTCATTCATCCATCGATCCATCAATCTGCCATTCTGCCCATCTATCTCTCCATGCATTTGTCTGTCCATTACATCTGTCTGTCCACCCATTTGTCTATTGACCCACACACTCATCTTTCCACCCATGCATCCATCCTGGCCATCAATCAATCGATTCATCTTCATGCCTGTCCGTTCATCCATTTGTCTGTTCCTCTGTCATTCTGTCCACCATTCTGTCTATCCATCCAGCCACACATTTTCCATCCATCTGTGAAGTCACCAAATATTTACTAAGTGTCTGCTATGTCACAGACTCTCAGAATAGTAGACCAAAATCTCTAGTCTCAGAGACCTCATTCCTCTACATGTCCTCAGCACCCTGCAGGACACTAAGAGCATGGATAGCCACCACTTAGAAATACAGTCACAAACTGTGAGTCTCAAGGAAGAAGCCTGCGTGAGATCCTGCAGGATGTGGCAGTGCTCTGGTCTACATCTGGGTGAGTCTGTTGCTGAATCTATTCTGCTTTCTCCCTTCGCATCAGTGAGTACAGTCTGCATGGCCCAGATCTCCCTGGGATGCCCCTTCACCAATTTTTAAGGGAGCTGCACTGGCAGCCTGGCAGCTGCTGCCCTGTGGGGAGGCGCCTCACCTTCTGCTGCCTCATGGCCCTGTTGATCCTCTTCTCCTGGTTCAGCTGCTGCTCCGTGCGCTCCAGGGCCTCCTTCAGAAGCGCCTTCTCCTCGGCCTCTCGGTAGATGTCATCCTCCAGCTTTGCCACCTGCGACTGGTGCATCTGGATGGACACTTTGCTCTGCCTGGGTGCACAGGAGAAAGACAGTATCTCTTTTATCCATTTATCATCATTTTATCTCTTTTTTCCATTCATCATCCATGCCCCAGACCTACAGGACTGACTTGGTAGTTTCCTGAGAGCAGGACAGGGTAGCAGAGAACTGGGAAGAAGAGGGGTGAATACCAGGGGACTTTCAAAAGTTCATACAGAAAGGGAGTTCATCTATCCATTGGTTTTGGTATGAGACAATGTGAAGCCCAAGCTTTCTGTAATATGAATTTTCTGATGACCTTTTGTATGTGCAGCATGAGAGGTTAAGAATATACTAACAACCCTCAAAGGTCATGTTTCCAAGGAGTGGCACCTGAAACTATGGAGAATATGGTGGAACTACACATGTCCACACATGGCAGATCAGTGTGCACTTGGGGAGGTCACGCTCTGACCACTGCCTTCGTAGGGACAGACTTGCTCCATCAGGCCTATGTGTTGTCCCCACTGTCCACCCTGGTGTTTCGGTTACTTCACACACTGGCCTCTGCCCCTGCGTGCTGTTGTCTTTGTTTAGCCAGGAGCAGGGAGGCTGGGGCCCTTCCCTGGGCATTCAGGTGCTACCTGAGCTGGTCAATGTCTTTCTCATATCCTCTCAGAAGCTCCTCCTTTCTCTCAAGCCGGTTCTTGAGCTGGGCGATTTTATCAAACACCAGATCGAGGTCCCTCTGTCGAAGCTGGTGGACTTTGTCCCTTTCTTTGGCAGACAGGTGCTTCATGGACACATGACCTGACATGTCCTTGATATTCATCAGACTCCCCAGGGTCTTGCTCATATCCAGGTACTACAAGGAAAGCATTGGCAGGTAAGAGAAGAGGCATTGCCCAAGCGCACTGGCGGCTGCTTCAGGGGAAGTGAATGTCTGTTGTGCACCCTTCATTTGCTGTGATTGTAGAGAACAAACAAATGGCTTGGCAACGAGTGCAAGAGGGGCTTTCCCAACACCTTTCACTTTCCTCCACATCTATTCATACTAGGCCTTCTTTGGAGAACCACGGGAGAGGCAACAAGAGATATAAACATCCATTCGAATTGCTCACTTCTGCAAGGACTAAGACTTGTGTAATTTCTGGTCCATGCTGGGCTACTAGATGGGTCTTGCAGAGACATTAGAGCTAAATAGGGGTTTCAGGCTGAGGGCGACACCACCCAGTGGGCAACACCAACTGCAGGGCTCCAGGCTTGCCCACAAGGGAGATGGGGCCGCCGGTTACGTACCAGCTTCTCGCTGAGGTCCAAAGCCTCGGCCATATCTATTTTGCTCAACTTCTCCATGGCTAAGCTGGACTCTGAGTTGGAAAGGTCATGATGAGACTGAAATCAAAAAAGAATAAACAAGTTCTCTTGACACAGGGTTGTAAGCTCCTGTCCCCAGCAGTGAAGGCAGCACACACTATGGCGGAGTCACTGTGGGGGGTTGGCCGCCATTTTGCTTTCTGGAAGAACGGCTTGGTCAAGGGCTTCTTACAAGGTCTTGCCCTTCAGGGAATGGCTGTCTCCAAAGCTGCCCCCTGCCCAGCTTGTTCTGTGATCACCATCCTTCCTCCTTCTGGAGTGCTGGCTTGCCTCCCACTGCCAGGACATTGGCAGTCACCACTGGGGATGGTGACTGCTACCGGCTCCCAACACGTAGAAGGTGAGGATACCCTGTTACATAACCCACGCCCCTCCAACTTCACACTTTTGGGATCAAAGGTGTGGAGCTGGAGAAGCCCTGGTCTGGACACCCAAATCTATGGAAACAAGACCATGCTGCCTGCTCACTGCCCCTTGTGCCTAGTGGGGCACCTAGCAGGATGGTCTAGAATGAACATCCCTGTTGAATGAATGAGTGATGGTTACATGCGAAGCCAGCCTCCTCCTTCTATTAAAGCAAGCTCATTGCCATGCAGTGGAGATGAGGTAGTCAGAAAACATGGCCAAACCCTCCTGCACTGGAAGCTGGTGGGTGGGCATCGTTTCCGGCCCTCTTGTGTGTGCTCGCTGAGCCTTCGCCAGCTGCTGGCTGCCAGCAGCTTCAGTCAAATGCATGGGAAAGCCACTGTGCTGAGCTGGGGGCCTGGAAAACTACGAGCAGGCCAAATCTCCCTAAACTGAATTAGATTTAAATGCCTGACAAGCAATTGACCTCAATCAATAGCACTTGTTGGCACGGCACCATTCATCTTTGGGATTACAGAAACCAAGGGCCAGCGTTCAGCCGAGCAGTTAAGATGCCTCTGCCTCTTGGGGCTGGTGCTATGGTGTAGCGAGGTAGGCCCACCGTCTGCAGTGTCAGCCTTCTTTATGGACTCAGGTTTAGATCCTAGCTGCTGCCCCACTTTCAATCCAGCTCCCTTCTAATGCACCTGGGGGAGCAGCAGAAGATGGTGCTACCACATCCAGCGCATTCTGGAAGACCCAGAAGTAGCCCCTGGCTTTGGCCTGGTTCAGCCCTGCCTTTGCGACCATTTAGGGAGCGAAGCAGCTGTGGATGGAAGACCTGTTTCTCTCTGCAACTCTGCCTTTCAGAGAGCTTTCTTTAACTGAGATGATGTCAGTGCCAGTTACACAGCAGTTAAGGAAGAGTAACAGCTCTCATTCACTAGGCATGTGCTACAGGCCAGGCCCGGCCCAGCACTTTACAGAATTCACTCCTTGAATTTTGTCACCATCGGACTACAGTCCCACAGAGGCAGAGTGCCTGGCCCAAGGCCATCCCTGCAACAGATGAGCTCTGACCCTGGAGTCTGAGCCCTCTGCATCGTGACTCCTCCCTGCTTCCTTGCGGGAAATGGGCCACGCGTGATGCAAAAGAGTAAGTCAGCCTGTCGGGGGCTTCTTCTGTGAACCCCAACACCTGACGTGGGGGTCACTGACCAGCCTGTGACCAGGCCACGCCCCCTCAGGCTGTGCACACCTGCCAGGTCATCTTGCAGACATGGAGCACCGGGTGTGGCAAGGGCACCAGCCAGTGACTGCAGCCCTTGTCCCTCAGGGACTGGTCCAACCCGCTGCCTGGCCCAAATGAGCTGGGGCATGGAGCTCATATCTGCCATTGTGCCCACCCTCCTCACACGTCAGCCAGTCACCGCAGAGACAAATCGTTACCGGCCGCAGCTCAATCCTCGAGAGGGTTGGCAAATTGGGTTTTGCATCCAGTAATATTTTCTGGACACTTTTTTCCACCCCGAGAGTCTTTACTTCTAGAAATGGCTCATGCAGGCACTCTTTATGACCTGTAAGAGAAATGATTTAGATTCAAAAGGAAGGCTCAAGACGAAGCCAGTTCATGTCGTAACTGTGGCTAGGGCTGACGATGGCGCACTGAAGCACACACCTACGTAACCCTCACCACGGCCCTCAGTGAGCCGAGAGAATAACCGACTTGTTCACGCTCATGTAGCTGGACTGTGAGGCGGCAGTCATGCAGGTGCCAGCAGTGCCAAGGCAGTGAGGGAGAACCTTGCCTAAGGGCTTCAGCACAGGGCACAGAATGACGTGTACCCAGGCTTCTAGGGCCTGATACAGCCCCTCCCGGCCCCGCTCCTGACAGTGAGCCCCAAATCTGGAGAGAGCGCCATTCTCTCTAAACCGGGAATTTGAAGAGGCTCCCCAGTGCTCATCCTCAGACAGTCAGTCCAAGGCGGAGTCCCCGCTCGGCCACGGCAAAAACAGGAAAAGGCGGAATGATAGCGGGCTTTCAGGAAAACCTATTTGTTTGCTCCCAAGGCCTGTGCGTGACTCTGAGGTCACGGTGTGTGTGCCCGTGGGCTTTTGTGTCACAGGGCTCTTCCAGCTGTGGCATGGTGGGGATGAATGATGCAAGGGCTGGCAGATTGTGCAGCCCCCAAGGCCAGCCCCCTGCATCTCCTGGGGATGGGGGAGCTTACTGGTCGAGCAGGCTTTCTCGAGCTCCTTGATGCGGGTACGCAGTTCCGATAAGGCCTTTCTCTGACGTTGGATGATCTCCTCGTGGCGGGACCCCTTGCACTTGACCCCCAGATCGCTGAAGGACTGCTCCTGCGGGTAGATCGGTGCAGACTGCAGCTTAGGGAGGTGCGGGTGGACCGGAACAATCCCTTTGAGCCACAGAAATGTGACCATCTCACGGGGAGCTGAAATCACGTAGCTCCCAAAGACTGCGGCAGAGCTGGAGCTTAAGTCTCGTTTCAGCTACCCAGTCCCGTTAGAAAGAGCACCACCTCCCCGCAGGAGGCCGCCCGCTCTCCTGTCCCCATTTCCCACTTTATTTTTTTCTCTCCCAACAGTCTTCCAACGTCTGTCTTTCCCTTTTGCTGTTGTTGTGGTCCTGGTCGTGAACAAGCCTACCCAATTCCACTCCTGGAGCATATGATTTTTTTTTTTTAGTGTATTTATTTATTATACATTTTGTATGACAGTGGGAGGAGGAGACAGAGAGCAAACACACTCTGCCCACCTGCTCACACCCTCAAATGTCTGCAGTCTTCGGGGCTGAAGCCAGGAGCCCAGCGTGAGTGTCCACGTAGGGACAGGACCCTCAGCCACCACTGTTGCTCCCAGGGTCAGCATCGGCAGGAAGCTGGGTGGGGGATGTCGGCACGTTAAACGTGAGGTCCTCTTCTTCACCTTTTAAGGCTCATGCCCCTTCTAACTGGCAGCATGCTTGCCACACCCACAAACACTGAAGTTTGTCATGGACCACCCCCACCTCGGTTAGATATCACCTCTCCGGGGTACACGCCACATGCGGGGTACACTGCCTCATCCGTCCTGCGTGGATTTGCTCAGCCTGTCCAGTAAGGGCCGCTCCCTGCCCTGGGCTCTGGGGGTTTAGTGGTGGTTAAAACAGGCAATGTCCCTGCGTCGGGGAGCCCACCTCTGCATGTAGGGAGACAGACAGCAAGCAGGACAGTCAGGAAAACACACAGAAGCCACTGCTGGCCAAGTCCTCGCCAGACTGTCAAGGAAGCCAAGAAGCTGGCAGCCCAGTTCTTTCTCAGAATGAGTTTTGTTTCCCTCAATGCTATATAAAAAGATTAATCTATATACATATATTACATATTCCATATATACATATAGATCTAAAGAGTGAATCAAAATGATCTTAACATTAAATAGAAATAGCTATATATTTGCCTACCTAACAATTCGTCTTTTTTTTAAAATTATTTTATTACTATTTTTTTAAAGATTTATTTATTTTTATTGGAAAATCAGATATATATAGAGGAGGAGAGACAGAAAGAAAGATCTTCTGTTTGTTGATTCACTCCCCAAGTGGCTGCAATGGCCGGAGCTGTGCCAATCCGAAGCCAGGAGCCCAGACCCTCTTCCTGGTGCAGGGTCCCAAGACTTTGGGCCATCCTTGACTGATTTCCCAGACCACAGTCAGGAAGCTGGATGGAGAGTGGGGCAATTGGGATTAGAACTGGCGCGCATATGGGATCCTGGCACATCCAAGGTGAGGACTTTAGCCGCTAGGCTACCACGCGGGGTCCAGATTTATTTTAGTTTTATTTGAAAGGCAGAGTTACAGACAGGACACACAGAGAGATCTTCTATCCACTGGTTCATTTCCCAGATGGCTGCAATGGCTGAAGCTGGGCCAGTCTGAAGCCAAGAGCTTTCTCAGGGTCTCCCATCTGCACACAGGGGTCCAAGCACCTGGGCCATTTTCAACTGCTTTCTCAGGCCATAGGCAGGGACCTGGATGGAAAGTGGAGCAGCCAGGACTTGAACCGGTGCTCAAATAGGATATCAGAGCCATAGACGGAGGCTTAGCCTGCCACACCACAGTGCTGCCCCTATCTGTTCATACCTGCCCACCTGCCTTCCTGTACACGGAGAAGAGACTGGGGAGCAAACTGACAAACCCGTGATGCCCTGGGGCACATTTCTCCTGGGCAGACAGCGACAAACATGGGGACGGGCAATCATGTCCTCCGATTCAGAGAGTGACGAATGCTCCGGGAACTGAACACAGGGCAGAGGGGACACTCGTGGCCTCCCTGGGTGCTTATGCAGGGCACATGTGACACATCTCAGATCCCCTGGGAGCCATGCACAGTGGGAGGGCTCAAGGCCAAGACCCCTCCCAGGAGCTCAGCAGTGGTGTCATCTAAGGACTTCCTGGGAATGCTGCCACTTCCCCATGTCCCCACCCGCTTGCTCCTTCACTTTCTCCAGGCTCTGCTCCAAGTTTGTTCCTCCCAGCCCCCACCCCCACTGGTTCCTCTCTGTCCCAGAGTGCTGGCTCCCCTGGGGACAAGGCCTCTGTGCCCCCTGCAGACTGTGGCATTACAGGGCCTGCTTCCGTGTGCTGTACACTGCAGTCACAGCTGCTACCCACAACTACGGTCACAAGCAGGAGCTGCCCAGTTTGCTGACCAGACTAGGGCTCAGCGGCTGAGAGCAGGGGCCAGTCCACCCTTGCCTGCACCTAGTAGGACCTCACTTGTTCTCCTACTTGTCCTTGGGTTGGGCTGCGCAGTGAGTCCACCCCCAGCTGGCTCTGCACTGGCCTTGCTCATCTCTTGCAGGGTGTGTGCTGTCCTCAGGTGCATACTACCTGGAACGCCTTCTCCTTCTCCTCTCTCAGGGTAGAAGAGAGGAGGAGATGGAGAGGTTGCAAGGCCACAGGGTGTCTGCCCAGGGAGGTTTGGTTGCAACCTGGACTTGGCTGGAAGAACCCGCAGAGCCCCACGTGACCGTTCCTCGCAGCTCCCCTGGGAACGTACTGATTTAGAAGATGGAGATTCTTTCTCATACAACCCTTGAGCCCTCTGACCCTGTCTGGCTCAAAAAGCAGGAAGTAGCTGGAGTGCGAGGAACCCTTCCAAGAGGCAGAAAATACTTCTTTCCTTTAATCTTACAGCCCCTCCCCCATCATCTCCAGCCAACCCTTAGCAACCAAACATCTCAGCTGAGCCCTCTCAGCAGTTTGGGCCAACAGTCTCATCCTGACTCTGGGGAGCCTTGGTGTGGGCAGGGACATGGTGCCTCGTCCGCTGTCCCTGCCCTAGGACTTGGTCCGCAGAAGATACTCAATGATTGTTGAATGAGGGAATGGATGTGCATCAGGTCCCGCCCTAAGAACTTGGAGATCAACAGGAGTGACCCGTGCTCCCTCTCCACGGAGGGGCCTATTGCATTACCCCGCAGCCTGGAGTGGCGGTCAGAGCCAAGGACAGATGACTGGACATTGGTCCCTTTCTTTCAAGCTGTTTGTGGTCTTGGCCCACGGCTGTCTAGCAGTGGAAAGGCCCTTCGCAGAAAGCAGGAAGACGAGTCACCACATTTGGCTCGATTTCCAAGTGAAAGTTCAAAGCCGATCACTGGAACACCCTGCTGTCCAGGTTCCCCAAGCCAAAGACAAAGCAACTTCCCGACCAGAAGCGATGCCCAGGCGATGAGACGTGCCACAACCTCAAGCCCAGGAGTGAGTGTGAGCACCAGCTGCTTGCACGGCTGTGCTCACTTGAGGGAACACACCTTGTTGGAAGGACAGCTGGGACTCTGGGGCCTACTGCTGCATGGTATCAAGGGACAGCGGTCACAGGGCTCATTGGAAAGGCAGTTGGGCCTTCCCTAGCAATTTGTGCATAGGCATTTGTTCTGTGTGTGGACACGTGTGTCCACTACAGCATGGTGCAGGCAGAGACACGAGCTAAGTGTCCATTAGCAGAGGACTGGCTGCAGCAAGACAATGCAATGGAAAAGGCACGACATCTTTATAAACTTACAAAGATGCCCATGGAATCGGGTCACATGAAAAGAACTAAACTGCAGGGTGTGTATGGCTTGACACAGTTAATTTTTAAAAAATGTCCTGTTCAAGGGGTGTACGAAGAAGTTTGTGTGGTGAGGATAAATATGATTTATTTCTCAATCATTTTTATAAGCTGAGGACTGTCATCACTCCCAGACAAGGGAACTGGGGCTGCGGCTGGCACGGTGGCTCAACTGCCTAACCCTTTTTATTGTTAAGTGCCAATATCCCAGTGGGTGCTGGTTCATGTACTGGCTGCTCCACTTCCCATCCAGCTCCCTGCTTGTGGCCTGGGAAAGCAGTAGAGGACAGCCCAAAGCCTTGGGACTCTTCACCCATAAGGGAGACCTGGAAGAAGCTCCTGGCTCCTGTCTTTGGATTGGCTCAACTCTGGTTCTTGCGGCCACTTGGGGAGTAAACCAATGAATGAAAGATCTTTCTCTTTGTCTCTCTTTTTTTTTGTGTGTGTGTGTATAAATCTGCCTTTCCAATTAAAAACAGGGCAAGAGGGGCGGGTGGAGCTGGGCCCTAGGAGAGGCCCAAGCTAATGTAAGTAGAGAGGCTGGGATTCGAATGCAGACAGTGCAGCTCCATGCCGCTTTTCCATTCACAGCACATGTGCTGGCCTCCATGAGAAATGCCCTGTTGACTGTAACCCTAACCCTAACCCAACCCTAACCCTGACCCTGACCCTAACCCAACCCAACCCTGACAATAACCCTAACCCAACCCTGACCCTAACCCTGACCCTGACCCTGACCCTAACCCTAACCCTAACCCTGACCCTAACCCAACCCAACCCTGACAATAACCCTAACCCAACCCTGACCCTGACCCAACCCTAATCCAACCCTAACCCTAACCCTAACTCTAACCCAACCTTAACCCTAACTCTAACCCTAACCCAACCCTGATCCTGACCCTAACTCTAACCCTAACCCATAGCCCCTGACTGCTGCCCCGCTCACCACTCTGTGCAATGTTGTACTCTATGACATACCAGATAGGTGAGTCCTACTTTGGGAACTGAAATAAAAATATTCCCGAGAGGAAAGAAGCAACTGGTATGGAGCAGTGGGTTAAGTAAGCTGCAGCCTGTTCCACTTCTGATCCAGCTTCCTGCTAACGACTTGGAAAGGCAATGGAAAATGGTCCGAGTGCTTGGATCTCTGCACCCACGTGGGAGACTCAGTGGAGTGCAGGCTGCTGGCTTTATCAGCCTGCGCCAGCTCCAGCCATTGTTGTCATTTGGGGAATGAACCAGCAAATGAAACAGCTTAGTCTTTGTCTCTTCTTCTCTCTGTAATTCTGCATTTCCAATACAAATAGATAAAAATCTCAAAAAAATAATCTGCAAAGGGCCCAGCATGGTAGCCTAGTGGCTAAAGACCTTGCCTTGCAAGCTCCGGGCGCCAGTTCGTGTCTTGGCAGCCCTGTTTCCCATCCAGCTTCCTGCTTGTGGCCTGGGAGGGTAGCTGAGCACAGCCCAAGACTTTGGGACCCTGCACCTGCATGGGAGACCTGGAAGAAGCTCTTGGCTCCTGACTTTAGATTGACTCAGCTCCAGCCGTTGTGGCCACTTGGGGAGTGAATCAGTGGGTCTTCCTCCCTGTCTCTCTTCCACTCTGTATATCTGACTTTCTAAAAATAATAAAGAAATCTTTAAAATGTAAAAAGAAAAAAGGGGAAAGGAAGCCACCTCTGGCTCTTCTAGGTTGGCCCAGGAGCCCAGGGCCCAGCCAGCTCTCACCTCCTGGCTGCTGGACAGCGTGTCGGGTTGGAGTGGCTCGATCTGCACGGAGATGTCCCGCTTCCTGGTCGCGTTCCTGAGCTTCTGTTCTTTCTCCAGGCTCAGCTGGAGTTTGTGCTTCTCTTGGGAAGTCCTAGGATGGGGAAGAAGAGTCACTGGGACAGCTGAGGCTCCAGGCAGCACAGGGTTCCTCAGCACTCATCCAGAAAGGAGACAGAGCTGTTTGGATGGATGCTTGGCTCGGACGGCCTTCCAAGGTGGTGAGTGGTGGGGCAGTGGGCACCTGACCTTGCACCTGCACTGGGTCTGTGTGCACCTGCTGTGCCATTACAGGGATGCCACATGCTGTAGGTGTTGACCCAGGAATCAGGGGATTTTACAGATGAGGCACACACAGATGTTTGCCCAAGGTCGCAGCTTGCAAGTTAGGGTGCCTTGCACTGTGTCCAGGCAGTCCCGATCCGTGTTTCTACTCTGAGCCAGGGGGTCAGTCATGAGCCGTGAGGCATGGGTGACACACAATGAGGGATCAAAGGTCACTCATGCTAAATATGGACAAACTTGGGATGAAAACACAGATCTGCCTTGTATTTCTAGATGAACCCATGGGACAAGATGCTATTTGTTTCTATATTGAGCTAATGCATTAGTTCATTAATAGGTCTGATAAACATGAAATTTCCCTATGTACCAGCCATGGTATGAATGCTGGGAAACCAACCGTGGCTATAGTCTTTGCAGACTCCATCCTTGTCGGGGAAGCAGGCAGCAGAAAAACCAATCACAGGCTTGCTGTGTGGCCAGGGTAAGGGGAGGCAGAGGACCTGAAGCAGAGTAAGGAGCCCTTTGGCTGTGTCTGGCAAGATTGAGTGATGGAGGGCTTCCTGGAAGAGGTGGCATTTACACTGAGACCTGTCACATGGGACATCAGGCAGGAACGTCTGAGGAGCACATGAACTAAGCAAAGGTTAGTTCATGAATGAGGTTGTAGAGCACAGACAAGGCCCCATCAGTGCAAGGCTGCCTGAGGCTCCCTGGTCCTGCATGCCCCTCCCACGCCACACACCGGAATGCCTCCTTGAGGGACTTCAGCTCCCGGTCCTTCTTCTCCAGCACGCTGCTCAGCTGTGCCACCTTGTTCTTGAGCATGCCCAGTTCATCGCTCTGTTGCTGCACCAGCTCCAGGTGCCGTTCCAGCTCTGCCTTCTGCTTCTCGCTGAGCTCCCCTAGGAGTGGCATGAAAGGTCAAGGTAGGGATGTTGGGGGCACTGGCACTGGGCATTAGTCATGGCCAGGAGGTCTGTTTGAGTGTTAGCAAAGTCCAGGAACTGCATGTATCATGGCCGCATGTGGGTGCTGCCCCACGCAGCCCCCTCAGCTCTGTGGTCCCTAGTGCTGCCCTGGCAGGTGCTACAGGGGTCCCACAAGTGTCCTTTGGTATTTCCAAGCCCTCTGCTCCAAGCTCAGTTGCCTGTTTCTGTATCATTTTGCCTGAAGGTGTTCTCGGGCCTCTGAACCCTCTGCCCACATGGCTAGCAGGTGCAACCAGCTCCCAACAATGACTGGGCAGGCTTGGGTGCACATGCCCAGCTCTCTTACCTCTTCATGGGGCTGCCTGGAGGTGGGTGCTCCCTGTCTCTCCCTGGAATGCTGTTTCAGAATTAAGCTGCATTGCCCCTGTGCCCAGTGGTTCACCAGGTCACCTTTCTCTGCTTCCTCCCAGGCAGATCTCATTCCCTGGGGATTACCTCGCGAACAGACTGCCTGTGGTAGAGCTCTGTCTCAGGACCCCCAACTAAGAGCTCTGCACAAGTCTCTCTGCACAAGTGCTCTCTGGAGTCTCCGTGGCCATCCCACCAAGTAGTTGTCATGAGCACTCCCATCCCACAGATGGAGAGACTGAGGCTGAGAGAGGAAAAGGATGTGCATCAGGTTGTACACATGACAACAAGCAGACCCAGAGCTGGATCCGACACTGCGGAGGCCGGAGCTGAACACTGTATCAGCTCACGTCTCACTACGGAAAAATCCCGTTTTGAAAAATTCAGGTTGGAATGCCACAGGTGTCTTAATAGGAACAGCCACAGGCAGCAAACATGAGTGAAGGCTTGGGGAGGCCCAGAGCTCAGGGCAGGGACAAGCAAACTGTTCTCCCTCCCTCTGCTCCCCTTAACATGGCGACACATCCAACTCCCACCTGCCTGCGTTTCTTGGCTTGACAGGAAGGAAGGCTGGGAAGGAGAGATGGGACAGAGAAACAAGAAAAGGCAGAGGCTGAGAGAGAGAGAAAAGAGGAGCAAAGTAGGAACAGGAAGCCCGAGTTGCTGCTTCTGCCCGGAAGAGGTGGGACGTAGTGCTGCTTCTCCCCATCCCGGTGCACCCATGTCCACCCTGGAACCAGGTGTGGGGCCTTCAGTGTGCGCCACAGGGAGGGCAGGCCCACGCAGCTCCCTGGTACCAGGTCCTGAAGCCAGCGGGTATGGGGGCTGTGCACACCCCTGATCTGGGGTTCTGGAATTGCCCTCCAAGGTGGACTCATCCTCTGTAATAACAGAAATTCTCCCAGCAAGAGGAAGTTGCGCTCCATGCTGAGGTCCAAGGGCCTGGGGAGCACATGGCCGTGGCACAGGTACATGGGATAAACGCCACGTCTGGGACGCAGCTTCTGCTGCAGGTGCACAGGAAGACAGGTCACACTGGGGCCTCTGTGCCCAGGTTCCCAGCTCTTCAGCCTCATCTTTCCTTTGTCCAAAGGGTCCCAGGGCCCGAGGGCCACGGAGACCCGCACGTACCTCTCAGGTCTGACATCCGGCTGTGGGCGCCGTTCAGGTCTTTTCTCAGCTTCATGATGACCTCCTGCTGGGACAGGATTTCCTTCTGGGCGGTCAGCAGCTCCTCTCTGAAACCCACAGGAAGGGCCCAGTCAGATCAGCTCAGCCTCAGGGGCGTCTGCTGGGTGCCTGAAAGGAAGCAGCTGAGCAGGTGCCGAGTGGGATACTGGCCCCAACTGGGGCATAGCGACTGCACTGCCTTTAGCCATTCTCCAAAACACATTCACTCAGGGCCGTTCTTTAGGGAATATGTTAGGACAAGAAGGATCCGGTTGGGCAGGGTTTGGGGCAGAAATGCACCTTGCAGGAGGCGTTGGCCTTGGGCTGGGCTTGTGGGCTTCATCGTCATTTCTCCAGGCCCAGACAACATCCCCTCCTCCTGGGTACCTTAAGTGGGCAGGACACCTTCCATACTGCAGGGCTCAGGGCAGTGGGCAGGCAGGGAGGATGGCTCCGCCAGGCGGTACTGGAGAGGGGAGGTGCTAACTTGGGGAGAGGGCAAGTAGACAAGCATCTGAGCCAATCACGAGCAGCAGCTGGGGGGATGGTCTGCGCATGTGCCTGTGTTGGCAGAGGAGGACACCCTGTGGCCCTGGTGGGTGCAGCAGGGCGCTCAGCACAGGCCCGTACTGGTCACTAAGTGCCTTCACTTGAGCCCACACACTCTCGAAGCCTGGACTGTTCTAGAACAGACTGGGACAGATTGGTGGAGCGTGTGTTTACAAAGGCCTGGCAGGTTCACGTCCAAAAACCAAAAAGCAAGATATTGTTGGGGTCTGTGTTGGGGCTCAGCATCCCATCTCCGAGCATGGTTTGAGTCCTGGCTGCGCCACTTCCAGTCCAGCTTCCTGTTAATGCTCCTGGGAAAGCAGTGGCCCGAGCACCTAGGCCTCTGCCACCCATACAGGAGACCAGGATGGAGTTCTGGACTCTGGCTTGAGCCTGGACATTTAGGGGAATGAACCAGCAGATGGAAGATCTGTGTGTGTGTATCCTTTCTCTCATATTTGCCTATCAAACAACTATATCTTTAAAAAAATGTTGATCGGGGCCTGGCACGATAGCCTAGTGGCTGAATCCTCCCCTTGCATGCGCTGGGATCCCATATGGGCAGGCATTCCAAGGGACTACTTCACCCCTGAAGCTAACACTCGCCTACATGATCTTCTAATGTCACTTTCATGAAACTGTGGAAGCCCCTCGCATGCGAGTGTGTGTGTGATTGTAAGCATGTGTATTCTATGTGAGTGTATGTATTCTCTGTGCGTGTCCTGGGCTCTCCACCTGACACACAGGCTCCTAAAGTGAGCTGCTGGTTCTCGGCCACACCCTGAGGACCAGGCTCTGCCTAGGCCTTCCCATGATGTCATCCCAAGGAAGTGAGTCAACACCCAGAAGCCCCCACGCTCAGCCCCTGGTGTGGGCATCTTCTGACTCGGCCTGGGCCAGCAGCTTTGAGTGCTTGATGATGAGGAGGGCAAGTATGCACCTGGGGTACTCACATCAGGTGATCGCATGCCATCTCTTTGGTGCCCATGTCCGGGGAAGGGGCCACTGAAGGCTCTTGTGCCACGGTTTCCTTATGAGCTGCAGTAGAGAAACACATGCATGTGTTTATCCTCGAGCGATGGGTGCCATCTTTCCCTTTTATAAAGACGCCCATGTCTTTCATGGCATTGTCCCTCCTTTCCCCCAAAAGCACCCCAGTAACCCTCAGAGGCTCTGTGCCCTCATGGGCCAGTACCCTCTTCACTCCCGAGGCCACACAGTCTTCCTGGTACCTTTACAATATAGGACCAGGTCACCTCACCCACATACATGGATTTGGGGGGACCAGGTGGGTCTGCTGAGCTCTGGAGTGCCACCTGCTCTTCTTCCTCTTCCCATCCAGATGTGAGCCTTGGAGGGGTCACCTGTACTCAGGGCGGGCCTCTGCTGATCTCCCCCTTCCTCCCGGTGGCTCCTCGTCTCAATACCCTATCCCCGTTTTTTTCATTCAGCAAACACTGAAGGAGTGCCTGTTTTATAGCGGAGGGGAGATGACAATGTTGCAGACACCTTTCCGGGATCAGCGTGGACAGATTCCAGTTGACTGAGCCTTACTCATCTTGGGTCAGCTATAGGGTCAACAGTTGGTACACTGCACGAACAGTCACTGGCTTGTCCGTCACTGGAGCTCCAGCGCTGAGACATAACAGAGGTTCAACCCAGAGTGCTGATGGATGAATGCACGAGGCAAATCCTGGCACTGCCAGCTGGAGGTGAGAACCACGAGTCTCAGCCAGGGGTGACTGTCTCAGGGCATTTGTGGTTTAGGTTGGCATCATGCAGGTAGAGGCCCTGGAAGTTACTAAAACACCTAATAATGGGGTGGGCTGGCAGGGAGGAGGTGGGGACGGTGGGGAAATGTGGCCTGCTGCAAGGGTGGTACTTGTGGTGCCCAGTGTTGCCAGTGCTGTCTGAGAAAGCTGGGCCCATTGCTTCTGCCCTCCTACAGGTCACGTCACCTTGGTTGTTGAGGGTGAGTCAGTGCTGCCGTTTTTCAGCCTCTTTCGGGTTTATCTTTTGAGAGGCAATGCCCGTGGTGCCTGAGGATGTATTACTCCAGCTGCAAACGGCTGGCAGCGCAGGGCAGCCCCTGCAAGGCTCCTCCCTGGGACGCTTTCACGCGGAAAACACGATTCCACTTCACGCCACTCTTGCCGCCCCTAATAGCCCCGGCAGCCCGCCGGGTGCCGGCTCACTGCGTGGGCACAAAGCGTGTCTCTGTCCATCACCGTTCCCCGTGCAGATCTGGGCTTTGGAGGGCTTCTCCCGCAGGAGTGTGGCATGAAGCAGGGCGGTGTGAGCGCTTGCTCCCTCCTCCCTGCTGGGGCCTGTGGACGCTCACTTCCCCTGGGATCCCATGGGCCTACCTGCGCCCCTCTCCTTCAGCGAGCCAATCTCCTCCTCTATCTCTTTGTGCTGTTGGGTCACCTTCTGGAGTCTCTCCTCCAGACTCACGATCGTCCGTGAGTGCTGCTTGATCTGTTCTTTGTATTCCATGATTTCTTCTTCGAATCCATGCTTCTGGGCCTCCCGCTCGTCCTGGAGGGTCTTCACTGCCTGCTGCAGCAGCAGTGTCCGCTCCTCCATCATGACCTGGGAGGCCGGCAGGGACTCGGTCAGCCCGGGGGTGGGACAAGAGGACCAGTGCAGCGAGCACATGGCTCCTGTGCACAGCAGGTGCCAACTTGGCTTCTGCCACAGGGCCTTTGCATGTGCCACCCCCCTGCCTAGAGCCTCCTGGCAATGATAATTCATTCTTGTCTGTTAGGTCTCCATTAGGCATCTCTTCCCTCCCCACTTAGCCACAGCAGTAGCCAGACATACATTGTCTCACTGGTTCTTTTTTCCCCGAGACCATCTGCTTTTCTTGAATTTCTTACTACCACTAGACACAGATTTCATCATAGCAGAAAGTTGGTTTTGCTTATTCCTAGTTATATTTACAACACCCAGTCTTTTGTGCAATACATTTGACTGAAAAAATATTCCAAGCAAAAGGCAAAGGACTTGGCAATTCTCAGAAACCAAAACAGCCAGTGGCCCCCACGTGGCGAGTCAGACCCTTTCCCGTGGTGCCCCTCCTCCAAGAGGCCCTCCTTCATCTTCCCCAACATGTCCCTCCCTGTCCTACCCCAGGCTCACCTCTGCTTCTCCACCCTCACCTTCCCAGGCCCTGACTGCCCAGCCTCCATCCTCCTCTGTGTTCACCCCTCATGTCCCGTCATCAACCTGTGCGGGAAGAATCCCCTCCTGCTCCTAGCCCTGGCAGGTGGAACCCACATACCATTTTGGTCTTGGCGGCCTCCAGCTCAGCTAATGTCTCGCTCAGCTTTGTGCCGAGGCTCTCGGCTTTGAGCGTCTCAGCCAGCTTGGCCTTCTGAGTCTCCTCCACCATGGCCAGCGCGTCCTTCAGCTTGTTGTTGAGAATTTCCTCGTTCTTCCCTTTCAACTGTAGTTCCTGGACAAAGCACAAACAACCAATGAGCTGGGATGCGCATCCACCAGGGCCTCCCTCTTGGTCCCTGCCACCTGCGTGGGGGAACCAGATTAAGTTCTTGATCCAGCTTTGGCCTCCCCAGCCTGCCTGTTGAGAGCCTTTGGAGATGGAGGCAGCAGGTGGGCGCTCTATCTATTTCAAATAAATGGATGCATAGGCGCATCCTTGGCTGATCTGTAACCAACTGTGGTTTGCCGACATCATCCTTCCAGGGCAGTATTATCCAATCTTCCCAGCATCCCTTGGAATCCTGAGTCTGAGCAAACCTGAAACTCCTAGGGAATGGTGAGTTGGATGAAAGGGGGAAGTCCAGGAAGCTGACATTTGTAGGAAACCTCCCCCCCGCCCTGACATTCCAACCCAGGATGATATTTAAGGTGTTTCTTTTAAGCGATTGACCCACAAAGGATGTGAATAGTCTTGAGAGAAATTTTTGGTCCCATCTGATCCCCTGGGTTCTTCTAGAACATGTTAATCTGCCTATAACATTCACCCACTTCCAGGTGGTGTGCTTGCCCCCTGCCCTGACTCTGAGTTACGGGTTATGGTATGTGTGCATATATGTCCTCTGCACTACTGGGGCCCAGGAAGGGTCCAGGCATGCCCCGCTATCTTTGGTACCTGAGACAAGGAGGGGTGTCATAACCATCTGTACTCCCCTGCTCCCAGTAGTGATAGTAAGTGCATTTGGTTATAAAGATTATGATGATTATGACGGAGAAGTTCAAGTGGGAAATCAGACACTAAAATGACCAGAATTTGGGGTGCCTCTGTTCTGACATCGTTTCTGCTCCAGACAGCTGAACCCACACAAAGCTCACAGATGATGGAAAAGGAGTTAAAAGTGAGGACCTTGGGGCCTGGGGGTCCTGGGATCAGATCCTGTTCCTGTAATTCCCATGATATTCTGCCAACATGAGCCATTGACAGGCGTGGCCTGCCTACATCCAGGGTTCTTGCCTACTCTCCATGTGTGTCAGAACTCACGCCTCACATAGAAGTTCAGAGACGGAGCTGTTGGCACCATCTGCATTTCCAAACTGGGAAAATCGAGGCCTGGAAATGGTGAGTAACTTGACAGAAGTCCCACAGCTAGAGCGGGGCAGAGGAGGGATCTGAACCCCCAGCACCCCTTGCCAGCCTGGCCTAGAGATGCACACCTCTTTCTGCTTGGTTAAGTGATTCTCCAGATCCTGCACCTTCCTCTTCTCCTTCTCCAAGGTCTCCTTCGCTTTCTGCCTCTCGTGGGCCACACTGTTCTCCGAGATCTGCAAGCCAAGGACCAGGGGTTGAGGACAGGTGCACAAGCCAGGGAGGGAGGGGACAGCAGGTGCCCAGGGAAACCGCGATGAGTCAGTGTTGAAACCAGTGAGTCAGAGCCTTGTGGCAGAGTTCAGGGCACGGGTGCCCAGCATGGTGGGAACCCGAGAGGCCCATCTTGATGAGTCATATGCATGGAAACTGTGGTTTCTCCATCAGGATTTCAGGGTTGGTGTTCAGGAAGTGACAGTCAGGTGAGTGCCCAGGTGATGTCATTGGGCGCCAAGCCATCAGCTACCCTGGTAGGTGCTGGCACCAATCCTGGCCTCTGTGGGGAAGCTCCTGCCCTTGGGGAGGTGAGTAGGGGAAGGCAGTGCTCTCTTCAGCCACCCCTGCAGGTCCCATGTTCATGGCTGACAGGAAGGCCATGGACAGGAGTGTCTTCCAGGCTAAAAGGGGTGGGCCTCAGGAAAACATGTCTGCCACCACTTGGAGCTGAGAATGCTAACCCCGGGGGATATAGACCTGGGGATGGGAGGGAATGGGCAGCCACATTGACCTGTACAGGCCCCGGCAGACAACAGGTGAAAAATTAGCTAGCTGCTGAGACTCTGGCAATGACACATCCCTACAAATCCACGAGAAGCATGCTTACCACTCACATGTACACCTATGACCAAAACATGTCCAGGATGTACCAGAACATGTGGAGTGGTTTGGGGGACTTGGAATGTCCACAATACATATTTTCTTCTCTCTACCAAGTGGCCACAGAGAAATTTGATAAAAAGAAAAATGAGGGGCCAGCTCAGTAGGGTAGTAAGCTAGCCCTCCGCTTGCAGTGCCAGCATCCCATATAGGCGCTGGTTCATGTCCTGGCTGCTCCACTTCCCTTCTAAGCTCTCTGCAAATGGCTTGGGAAGGCAGCAGGAGATGGCCCAAGTGCTTGGATTCCCAAATCCACATGGGAGACCTGGAAAAAGTTCCTGGCTCCCAGCTCCAGACTGGCCCACCTCTGGCTGTAGCAGCTCTTTGGGGAGTGAAGCAGCAGATGGAAGAGTAAGTAAAACAAACACAAATTTAGGAAAAAAAAAAAAAAAAAAGAAAGTGGTGCTGAGGAAGGCTGTGCAGGGTAGAGGGGGGCTGTTGGAGTTGGAGGGCTGTTGGAGTTGGGGTTGGGGCTGGGGGAAAGTGAGGCCCTGGGGGAGGACACTTTCCAGCCTTTCCTACCACAAAGGGCCCCCAGCTGCCCTGCCCCACCCTGCTGGACTCTGATCTCATCTAAGATGAGATGAGTCTTGCTTAGGGCTGCCCCACCCCCGCCTCGGAGGGCTCTTCCTGTTCTCTCACTCCTGTCCTATTTGGTAGGTAACTAGGAAAGCAGTGCTTTGGCTCAATTGGCTGATCCTCCACCTCCAATTGCGTCATCCCATACGGGCACTGGTTCATGTTCCGGCTCCTTCACTTCCCACCCAACTCCCTGCTTGTGGCCTGGAAAAGCAATCCCAAGATCTTGGCACCCTGCATCCATGTGGGAGACCCAGAAATAGCTCCTGGCTCCTGGGTTCGGATCAGGTCAGCTCTGGCTATTGTAGCCATTTGGAGAGTGAACCAGCAGATGAAAGAACTTTGTCTCTCCTCTCTGTAAATCTGCCTTTCCAGTAAAAATAGATCTTAAAGAGAAAGCAGCAAGGATGCCACTGACCCTTCCTCCCCCTCTTCCCATGCCTGAGATGTGAGCAATGGGTCCTGTGGGTGGAAGGCATCAGTGAATCCAGCGTGGACCCCAACACCATGCATCTGTTCACTGATCCCCGTTTTCCAGGGGAGAAAACCAAGGCACTAACTGAAGTGCAATGAGCTCAGACCCCCCTTCCCCTCCCCCACCCTTCCCCCACCCCTCCCCTACCCCTCCCCCACCGCACCACATCCCTCTCTGGACACTTCCTGATCTGTCTTTCAGGTTCAGTCCCATCCTACACACAGGTGAAAGATGGGTGTCTGTGTTTATTTACCGATTGGCACAGGATCAGTCACCTGCTTGGCAGAACCTGGCCCAAATGCCTGGGCGATGCTTTGGGCACCTGTGTCCACTGTTTGGATCTCACTGATACCCCTTGTCTGCCTGGACTCTGCCCTCACTTGCCTTTGTTCAAAGTCTTGGTTGGAAGCTGTCCAACCTGCACTGCTCCACCCCCACTGCGCTTGCTGAACTCTGATCTCCTGGGGCTCCTCAGTTCACACCGCTATGGTTCTGCCACTGTGTGGGCATCAACGAAGAGAGGGCATCAACCCTGCCCTGGGTCACACAGCCTATCTGGGCAGCGCTGACTCTGCCAGCCCACCATGCTCACCTGCTCCTACCTTGTCTCTCCTGCTTCCTGCCCCACCCCACCCCCTGCAGTCCTGCTTTAGCGTCATCCACCTCCCTTGCTGTGTGCCTCTGGCCAGCTCAGATCCCACGCTTCCTGTTTGGGCCACTTTACCATGTGAAACCCTCTTCCCCCTGCAGCTCTCACGGAAATGTCACCTCCTCAGAGAAGCCCTCCCTGCTTGCCCCTGAGGTCTCCTGTGCATCTGCACTCATGGTGCCCATCCCTCCTGCTCTGAGCTGGAAGCGCTGGGGGAGGCCGTTGGGGGAGCAAGGCCCAGGACAGGGCCTGGCCCACTGTGTGAGGATTCAAGTGACCCTGCAGGAGGAGGAAGCAAACTTCATCCAACAGCCTGTGTTACAGGAAGTGGTCATTAAAGGTCTCCTGGCCCCAAGCTCTGCATTCCAGGGTGCGGCCTGGACATGGCATTTCTCTGGCTTGGTCTGGGACTGCAGGATGGGCCCCAGGCCCAGGCAGGTGCTTGGAGCCTGGGCCTGGTGCTCCCAGCCCCCTCCGTGCCTGTCCTCATGGCGTGTCCCACCTGGAAGGTGCACTGCTTTTTGCCTGTCTCAGTAGCCTTGCTCCTGGGTACACCTGGTTCCCTTGGTGCTACTGTGTCCCTGCCTCAGGGCCTGCCCAGGGAGGAGCAGCTCCAGATCCCGTGAAGGCAAGAGGACGCGTTTCTCTTGGGAGTGTGTGTATGTGGGGGGCCTTCCCTGGGCACCTGAGGCAAAGAGCAGGAAGTCCTTTCCGTGTGCAGGGAGCAGCTCCGAGCGTTTTCTGCAGAGTAACACAAAGTCCCACTTTACGGGGGGAGTTGAAGGGCAGAACAGGCAACCTGTCTCAGTCACGTAGTGAGTGAGTGGCAGACAGAGTTTACTTCCAATGGAGCTGCAGCCCTGATGTCTGCTCAATCTACCTTCATGGGCCTTGCCTGGCACTCAAGCTCCTTCCAGAAGGTTCTGGCTGCTGACCTGCCCCTCCCTCAGCTGGGCATACCTCCTTCTGCTGGGTCAATTGATTCTCCAGGTCTTGAACTTTCCTCTTCTCGGTCTCTAAGGCTTCCTTTGCTTTCCTCTTCTCGTGGGCCATGCTGTTCTCGGAGACCTGAAAGCCAACGCCAGCCCTTTCAGTTGCCCGCACCCCTAGGGAGGCAATAGCTAGCGATGGTGCTGCAGTGACGGTGGTGACAGTAGTAACAGCTAAACGCTGGTGGGGGTCCTGCATGCCATCCCTCCCTCCCCTGCCAGCCCTTCCCTCTCAGGGGGACCCTCACCCCCACAGCAACCCTAAGTGGGAGGTATTGTTGGTGCCCCACTTTCAGGCTGAGGGACAGGACATCAGTTTGTCAGAGGGAAGGCCGAAGTGTGAATCCTGCATGGAGGGGTTCAGGATATGCGAGGCGGCCTGGATTTGTCTCCCTGGAGCAGGTGGCTTCTCTGATCACTAGGAGCCCAGTGATGATGGAGCCCCCAGGTGGAGTCCAGAGGAGGAGGGTGGTTGCTAACTGTGGAGTCAGGTGTCCAGGCAAGGGGGGCACTGGCTGGTGGCAGGGCAGGGTGGTGCTGGGGGCCTCCTGGAAAGGGGGCGAGCAGTTTTGTTCTAGGACTTGCTGAGACGCCAGAGAAATGGCTGTGTGCAAACTACCAAGGGACAGAAACTGCCACCTGACCTAGGTCTAGTCTTGTAAACTCCAGGGTGTTTGCAGCCTGGAACGTGGGTCCCATTATAATTGGGGCTTGTAGCCTGCAATGAACCTGCAGAAAAAAACATGCTATCTGTGGCCTGGCTGGCGTGCTGGGTGCTCTGCAGGGAGGAGAGGTTTGAACCACCAACACTCGGCTGTCCAGCTGCAACACTGTTGTGGGACTCTCCCAGGGGTTTGTGGAGTCTTCCCGTCCATGGCCACAGGGACTTCACAGCCGGCAGCTCCTCTGTTGGCCTCAGCATGACCAGATGACAGAGACCCCTCATTTGGCTGCACTGGGACCCTGTCTGCCTCTTCTGTGGGGTCCCCAGATTCACAGCAAGCCACCGCCGATGCCAACTCCATCCCATTGGGGCGTAAGGATATTGCTGTGTGCAAGATCTGCCTCATGGTGAGACAGGAGTCACTTCCCTGCCTGAGTGTGGATGGGCTGAGGCTGGAGCTACTGGGAGACCCCAGGGAAGCTTCCACATTCTAGGGTCCCACAAGTAAATGAGAACAGAAAGGAAGAAAGGAAGGAGAGAAAGAATTTTTAAAATAACAACAAAAAAGAATACACTGCAATGCACTGGCCCCGCTAGTGACACCCTTGTCTCTCCTGAGTGGCCCTGACCTTGGCATTGCTGACATTCAGTGCCACCCCCTGGACCTTTTGGTGGTCTTTGATTCAAGGGATGCTGGAGCGAGTGACCCCTCCCCAGCTACCCTCTCTGGGAACTGGCAGGTATGGACTCATCTCCTGCACCCAGGATGCAGCCTGCAGGATTAGCAAAAGTAGCTGTGAAAACACCCAGGGTTAGCTGTGACCCCAAGCCACTCAAGAGCTCTTTTGGATGTATTTTCAGTCCTGTGCTGGGTCTCTGTGCTGCCAGTTTGGCTGTGTCTATCACAGAGAGTGGAAATGTGGGATGAGCTGCAAATGCAGAGGCCAGGCAGGTACCAAAAATGAGGTTTCTGCATGTCAGGCGTGAGGGCACAGTGAGGCTTGTGGCCCACAGCTGCTGCTAGGTTCAGCTAATTTTTTTAAGTGGAAATAGAGGCCAGATTTTCAGACATATCAGAGAAGATGGAAATTTGAAGTTTTAAACACACTTTATGAATTAAAAATAAAACATCCTGGGGTTGAACATAACATCTTGGCATGCTACTTTTCGGGCAGTGAGCTGTTTATGACTTCAGCACAGACTGGGCAGGGGCCAGGGCAGGCCCCTAAGTGATTCTGAGCAGGTGGGACTTGCAGGAGCCCCTGGGTGGGCAGGGCGTGGGGGATAATAACTTCCCAGTGGAGGAAAGATTTGGGCCACCGAGGCTTAGCATGGGGTTGGCTGTCGGGGGCAGAGGCCATTGGTGCTGCTAGGGGACGGGGTCAGCAGGGGAGGGGCTGGCAGTGGATGCCTCCAGCCCTGGGGTCCTCGTCTTGCCACGCCTCTTTCCCATGCTCCACGTGGGAGGCACCAGCTTCTCTCCCTCGGAACTGCCCATTTCAGAGGTTTCCTTACCTGGTTGACATGGCTGCCATGCCAGGGTTAGCTCCTGAAACCCTGGTGCTTCCCAGGGGAGCTGAGCTTACCCCATGGCCAAGGTCAGCTTTGCCCCCTCTGCTGTGCTCCTGAACTCACTTCCCACGTGGCCAGCAAGCTGGAAGGGGTTCTCGTCAGCTCTGCCTCCCCGTGCCACCTACCTCCTTCTGGTGGGCCAAGCGGGTCTCCAGCTCCTGGACTCGCATCTGCTCCTCTTCCAGGATCTCCTTTGCTCTGCTCTTCTCCTGAGCCATGCTCTCCTCCAGAGCCTGAAAGCCAAGGCCGCAGGTGAACAGACAGATTGTGGCAGGAGGTTGGACTTCCAGGGTTCAGGCACCCTTCACCATGGCCCCTTCTAGGCGAGAGAGCCCAGGAGGCCCAAGCTCAGGCTTTGGAGTCAGCATGGCCAGCATGGCCCCAGCACTCCCTGGCTCTGCCTCTGCGCCTCCCTGAGCCGCCTACCTCCTTCTGACGGGCCAAGCGGGTCTCCAGCTCCTGGACTCGCATCTGCTCCTCTTCCAGGATCTCCTTTGCTCTGCTCTTCTCCTGAGCCATGCTCTCCTCCAGAGCCTGAAAGCCAAGGCCGCAGGTGAACAGACAGATTGTGGCAGGAAGTTGGATTCCCGGGGTTCAAGCAGCCTTCACCATGGCCCTTCTAGGTGAGAGAGCCCAGGAGGCCGAGCTTGGGCATTGGAGTCAGCATTGCCAGGCTGGAGCCCCAGCACTCCCTGGCTCTGCCTCTGCGCCTCCCTGAGCCACCTACCTCCTTCTGATGGGCCAAGCGGGTCTCCAGCTCCCGGGCTCGCTTGCGTTCTGCCTCTAAGGCGTCCTTCACTCTGTTTTTCTCCTGGCCAATGCTCTCCTCCAAACTCTGAAAGTCAAGGGCTGCAGGTGAACAGACCTGGATAATCCGGCAAGTGTCGGACCCTGCCAGGCCTGCGTGGTTTGGTCAGTCCTTGCCACGGTCCCGTGCAGGCGCCATGGGTGGCAGAGCTAGGAACTCAGAGGGAGGAGCGGTAGAGTCAGCAGGTGTGTGTTGGGGTGCCAGAGTCCTTCTTCGCTGTAGGGTTCCAGCTAAATGAGAAGGCACAGATGCCCCAGTTTCCTGGGCCGTACAATGGGGAAGGAAATTATGCTTCCTGTATTGGGTTGATGAAGAACAGCGAACATGGAATTGTTGACACACGGATAACCATTGGTTGCCATGTTGCCGGGGACGAAGACAGACTTGGAAAGATCCAGGAAGCTGCCCAACATATTATGGAATCATCACATGAGCAGGTTCAAATTCTGACCTATTTGATCCTGAAGCCTGCATCCTAAACCAGGGGTTAGCAAAACCCTATGATCAACAGATGGAATCTGATCTGTATTTTTTTTAAATACATAAATATCTATTTGCTAGTTCACTTTTCAAATAGCCGCGATGGCTGGAGCTGGGCCAGTCTGAAGCCAGGAACCAGGAGCTTCTTCCCAGCATTCCAGGGTCCAAGGACTAGAAGCTATACTCTTGTTTTCCCAGGGAATAAAAAGGGAACTGGATCAGAAATGGAGCAGCTGGGGCATAAACCAGTGACTATATGGAATGCCAGTGCAACAGGCAGAGGCTTAGCTTGCTACACCATGGTGACAGCCTTCATCGAATGTTTTGTTGGAATGTTCTGTGCTCAATGTGTGTGCTCTGTCTGTGGCTGTTTTTTTGCTGGTGCTGAAAGGAGAAGCCCGTGGGAGAGGAGAAGCCTATGGGAGAGGAGAAGTCCATGGGAGAGGAGAAGTCCATGGGAGAGGAATGAGGATGCAGGATGTGGGGGGAGAGTCTGGGAGGGTTCAAGGTCCTGGGTCTGCCCCGGCTTTGTTTTCCGCCCTGTGGCTCCTGTTCTGCCCACACACACCTCAGGATGGGCCACCTCCATGGGTGCCATTGCTGTGTGTGTGAATCCAGCAGGATGCAGGCCCACTGCTTGAGCCATTATCTGCTGTCTTACTCAGGCAGGAAGCTGGAATTGGAGGTGGGGCTGGATTTGAACCCAGGCATTCTGCTGTTGGGTATAGGCATCTTAACCTCTGGACCAAACGCCTGCCTCTGCTGTGAGTTTTGGTAGTCAGGCTGCATTTTAATTCCTCCAAAATCATTTTGGTTCCATGTCACCTATCCAGGAGTTAGGGCATTTCTGCGCCTGAGCCCACGTGGCCAGCTTCCCCGCAGAGGAGGCCATGTCAGCTGCGCGCGCTGCTGCGGGGGAGGGGGACACGCAGCCACCTGCCGGGGCCTCCTTACCGCCTTCTCCTCTGTCAGCCGCTGGATCCTGGCTCTCAGCCTCTTCTCCTGCTCTTGCCTCTCCGCATTCAGCTTCTCCTTCTCCGCCAGATGCTCCCGCAGCTTCTCTTGCAGCACACACTGCTGCGTTTCTTGAGAACTCTTGAACTTGACCTGATGTGACAGAAAGGGGAACTGGAGCTGCTGGGGGTAGGAGGGCAAGCAGGGCGCCCTCCACATTTCCTCAGGGATTGCTCCCCCACCCCCGGGGCACCAAGCTTGACACAAATCTTTCTCAAAAGCACAAACATATTCAGCTGAGTTCCTGACAGGGATACAGCGATGTGGACAGAACCCCCAGCTCTGGTATTTTCTAAATGCTTCTGTATTTAGAGAAAGGGGTTCATGGTAGGATCTTCCTCCCAGAGTTGGAAGAGTTAAACGGGATAAGGCGGGAAAGCTTTTAGCAGGTGCTCAGTGTAAAGCAGGTATGAGAATGATCAGCTAGTTGTTTCTTGCATCCAGCTTGGAGCCAGAGACCTAAGATTTCCCCTTGATTTCTTCACCATCTAACCTCTCTGGACTTCAATGCCCACCTCTGTGAAATGAGGAAAATGACCTGGCTCAGTCTTGGCAGCTGTCTGCTTTTGTAAATAAAATCTTACTGGGGCAGAGTCACACCCACAGGGCCAAGCACTCACACGTTATCTGTAGTGGCCTTTGATGGGTGTGTTGCAGACCAGGCATGCAAAAACCTCAACTATCTACCTTCTGGTCCTTTATGGAAGTTTGCTGAACTGTGGCCTCAGGTCTCTGTGGTTGGCGTGAATGCTAGTCTCTTTTTTCCCCTTTGTCTCGCTCCATCTTTTTGGCTATGTACATGGTGGTGGACCTACTGATAAGCAATTCCCTTCAGCACAGCTCTGTGGCTTGCTTTGACCAATGTGCTGTTAGCACACATAACAGAAGCACAACGTTGAAAAGTGGTGCGTGATTGGCCCTGCCATTTCTATGAGAGTTGATGTGGAGTTGAATGACTCCTGTGCAGGCCAGCTCGGATTTGTCAAGGGCACCTGACACCCAGGCCATGGAGCAAGGCCATCTGTGGTCAGCAGATATCCTAAGCCACGGACCTCTGACATGTGGGCAGCAAATCGTAATGGCTGGATGCTGTTTTGTAGCTGGTTATTATACAGTACTAACATGGCCTTGGCTACTGGGATGGTACGCTCCATCAGAGCACCTGGTCCCCAGAATATCTGTTTTTCTAGGCCAGTCTGCTGCCTGCATTGTGAGTAGCTGCTCTTCTTCCACTGCAGGTACCCCCACTCTTGACAACTGGATGCTTCCCGGGCATGGTGGCTAGCCCAGGAGGGACAGCACCTGCCCCAGATCTTCCCCTCCAGGGAGATTCTGGCCACACTCTGAGTTTTGTTAGGGGTGTAAATCATTCCTTTGGGGGCATGTAGAACAAACAGCTGACAGGAAAGAAATGGGTTCAAACATCCAGTGTTCCACAAGTGCCAATGAACAAACACACGAAAGGTACGTCTCTGCTGCCCACGACCTGTCTGAAAAAGCACGATGGCTGACGAGGAACAATGAAAAAAGGTTTGGGAAAGAAACACAGAATTACCTGAAGTTCCTGTGTCTGGTTCATAATCTTTTTATAATGTTCCAGAAGATAGATCAGATACAGAGAGAACCCTGAGAACAGAGAGGTGGGAAGGTCAGGGTCAACTTGGTGGCACTCCCATGTCTTCTGCCTACCCAGAGCTGGTGGGCAGGTATGTGAAGGCAAGGCTGCCCTTGGAACCCTCAGAGCACGAGCTAGGGCGGGGTCTGGAGATGCTGTGGCACAGCAAGCGAAGCTGCTGCCTGGGATGCCCATGTCCCAAACTAGTGTGCCTGCACAGCATCTTGGCTGCTACGCGCAGATGGCAGGAACCCAAACACTTGGGGAGTGGACCAGCCAATGGAGGAGCTCTCTTTGCCACTTAGCCTTTCAAATAAATGGAGAGAGAGAGAGAAAGAGAATAAAAACAGGCTGATGTCCAGCTTATGTTTTTAAAATGGTTGATAAGCTTTGGCGGAGCCCAAACCCAAGTGTCTTTTTAGGGGTGCATAGCAAGGACCCACACCAGAACATGCATTTCCTGTAGGCCTACTGTGTGCAGGGTGAGTGGTGGCACAAAATCGTGCCCTTTAGGAGCTGGCACCTGAGTCTGAGAAGGTCCACAGGCACAACACGTGTAGTGACACCAGGCAGTGTGGGAGTGGCTGCTGATGGTGAGAGGGGTGGGGTGCATGAGGGTCTCGGTGGGGCAGGGGAGCAGTCATCCTCTGGGGCACTGAAGAAGGCTCCTTGGCCGGGCATTGCTGAGCAGGTAGAGGAGGGAGAGCACTGCCTGAGAGGGCATGTGGGCAGTTGAATTGTGACTCCCCGACAATACTCAGGTTCCAACGCCCGCAGCCCGTGCTGGCTAATTCCCAGGGATAAGGCATTTGGCAGGTGGGAATGAGGATGTTGGGTTCTGGGAATGATCTGAGATTATCTGGGCAGAGCAAATGTAATGATCATGTGGGTCCTTATAAGAAGGAGACAGAGCAAGTTTCGACCTCGGAGGAGAAGGGGATGTGGTGGAAACATGGAGAGAATTGAAGCTGAGGATGGAGGAAGGGACCAGGAACCCAGGGATGCAGCGAACCAAACTCTGGAAAGCTCTGGAAAGCTCTGGAAAAGACCCAAAGATCCTTCCTGTAGCCTCCAAAGGGGCTGCCTGCTGTCTCTTGATTCCTGCCCAGGAAAGCAGAACTGGGGTTTGTGGCTCCCCGGGGACTCTGCAAGACAAAATATGGGAGGCGGAGAGGCCATTGACATGAGCAGGCCTGGTTGGCAAGGCCCGCCCTGCACACCCCAAGTCTGAGAGTCCCTCCTTGTGCTGGGCCTGTGCCCCCTGCCCCGCCATGAGCCACCCATAGGTGGCACCTGCACTGCTGCTCTTGGCAGCTCACTCATAGGAATGCTTGGACCCCTGTGTAGGGAGACTAGGGGACACACTGGGGGGAGGGAGTTTTCTTGTGGGAAAGGGGGTAAGATGCAGGGAGCCAGGACTATGTTGGAGAAACACTCGTGTGAAGGGCAGGGGGCTGTGGAAGGCAGTTGGAGATGAGGGAAGCAGGTGCACAGGGTCCCAGGGAGCCAAGTTGAGGAGGTTTCAGGAAAGAGAACCAGGATTCCTTAGTGGGTCTTGAGGAGGATGGGGAAAGATGGGACAGCAGGGGGCCCTGCCCGTGGTGGCCTGGGGCCAAGGTCAAGAGGCAAAGACAGAGCAGGAAGCTGACAGTGACAACTGAGCATGTTGCATTTCTGGGGACAGAAGTGAGAGCAGCAGAAAAGCAGAGAGGAGCCAAGGTTTTAAGATGGCAGAGTCACCGAAGAGCAAGTCTGATGGCCAAGGGAGGGAGTGCAGAGGCAGAAAAAGGCCATGGATGCCGGAAAAGGAAGTTGCCATCAGGGGCTCAAGTACACTGGGAAGAAGGGGGAGGGGGACCCAGGGAGAGGAGAGCTGCCTCCGGAAGGAGGGTACTGTGAGGAAGGAAGGAATGAAGCAGAGACAAGACTAGGGGTGGAGATGTGGGGGACCTTGATATCCAACAAAGCAACTACGGAGGAGTTCTTCTTGCATGAACGAGAGAGGTTAGTAACATCATGGTGAGAGCTACAAGCTGCTTGGCACTGGCTGGGCACCGCTGCCACACCAAGAGTTTCGCGTGTGTTTTGTACTCATCACCCACAGCCCATAAAGAAACCACCACAGCTTCCCCAGGGTAAGCAACCGAGTGGGTAAGAGGAGTCAGTCTGGGTCTGCTCTCCTAAAGAGCTTGGAGGCTTGAGGGGAAAGGGTTGGTGTGACCACTGTGAAGAATGTGCTGGAATAAACCCAGAAGGCAGGGAGGCACGCTGGCCTGGGCGATGTCAGCTTGGACCAAGGCAGGTGCAGGGTTCAGCTGCGATCCGTCTACGATATCACAGTTGCTTTCCGTGACCCAGGAATGAGGTAGGAAGGGTGGTGTCATGGCTGGGATCCAAAGAAGTTAGGGGTGGGACTGGAGGCCTACGTGCTGAGGAGGGAAGGGGGGTTGGTCGTGTTTGTGGATCATGTGATGTTCTGTCATCACCGTGGGAATCTCCTGTCTGGAGAAAGGGGAAGTCTCTACTATGCTGGTTACAAAAGTCCTCTGTGTTCATGACGGAAGCCCAAATGCCACAGAAGCTCATGGGGAGCCAAATGTTTGTGGCTCTGTCCTCAGGTCTACCTACCGCAGTCTGCACACAGTGGGCCCGCAGCAAACATTGAACATTCATGGCATGATGGAAGGACAGAATGGGGCCAGGGGATCCCACCCTGCTGGGGAGGACACATGGGACCATTTGATGTCTATTTCTCCAGGTCAGACACTGGCATTTTGAAAAAGCAAAAATAGGAGCACACTATCCACATTGTACTGCAACTGGTTTTGCTGTTTCCCTCTGTAAGGACTTTGTATTCTGGGTATTTGAGAAAGAGCCTTCGGGGAGGGGTCTGCGTGCAACACTGTTGCAGACACAGACAGGAGCCAGTGAGACAGAGAGAGAGCAGGTGGAATGGTAGCCAGCTGGCTCTCAAGTGTACCCCTAAAAGGCTTGCTGTCTTCCCCACAGACTCCCAGCAAACTGTTACCCACCAGCCAGCTGGGAAGCGACACGTACTTGCACCATGCATGCCTGCCTGTCTGGGCTATGGCAGGGCATCACCCAGTGATTCTTCCAGCAATTCTTCCAGGATTTTCCCTCTTCATCTAAATGACCTGTGGACAGGATTTGGCAACCTAGCCTTTTATGTGTGTTCTGTTTCTTAGGGCAGTGTTCCAAAGGGCGGGCTGCATGGTAAAGCTCTGAGGCCTTACCACTTCAGCCCCAGGACAGGAAGCCTATTGTCTGACTCTGAGGAGGCCTAGAGGTAGCAGGCTAATTCTCTGTCTGCAGTGCCAGCATCCTATACGGTTGCTGGTTTGAGTCCTGGCTACTCTACTTCTGATCCAGCTCCTTGTTTATGGCCTGGGAAAGCAGTGAAGGATGGCCCAAATACTTGGGCACTTGGGCCCTGGCACCCATGTGGGAGACCTGGAAGAAGCTCCTGGCTTCTGGTCTTGGATCAGCTCAGCTCTAGCTGTTGCAGCCATTTGGGGAGTGGACCAGCAGATGGGAAGTCTTTCTCTCTCTGTCTCTCCTTTGCTCTGTAACTCTGCTTTTCCAAAAAAAAAAAAAAAAAAATCTTCAAAACAGAGAAAACCTAGAAAGGGCTTTTTTGGCTTCAACCCAACTTAGCTCCTGGCTAAGTCAGCAGCACTGGCTGCCAAAGGAAGACGGGGAAGGCCCCTGATGGGAGGACAGCCAGCTGCACATCCCAGGCTGGCTGCCATGCGCACTCTGGCCAGGTTACAGCAGCAGGTCTTTGAGGCTTTTGACGACATCAGCCATGCCTCCCCTCCATTGGAGGGCCCAGGACCTACGGCTCGTTGGAGCTCCCATCACTGGGTCCCAGGAACTATGGCTCGTTGGGTCTCCCATCACTGGGTCCACATTGCAACCTTATAGGATTTTTTTCTTTTTTGTTCTATAAACAAGCAAGTAGAGGCACAAAGACATCAAGGAACCTGTCTCATATATAAAAAGTACACAATTGATACCCAAGCCTTGGCAGCTGCTTTCCAAACCCACACTCTGAGCCACCACGTGACAGTGCTGGGGGATTCTCCTGGTTCGCCCAGCCCAGGTGTTAACAGTTTTGGAGGAGGGGGTTTGTGGGTGGGGTCCCCATGATCACATCAGTGGCTTTAGAGGAAGAGAGACCCAACTTGGGGACTTGCTCTCCCAACTGGATGGTCTTTGCCACATCCTGCAGAAAGACCCTCACCAGGAGCAGGACAGATACTGGCCCTGTGTCCCTGGGCTTTTGGAGTCAGTTCAGTACAGCCCTTTTGTGAATCACCCAGTCTCAGGGCTTCTGAGATCCCAGACTAAGACGCTCAGCCATGGAGTGTGGTGTGGATGTGGTGTAGCTCACCATAGGGAGTGAGAACTCTTAGCTCTGTCTCTGCCCAAGCTAATGACAGGGGCTGTCCTCTCAGCTGTGAGCAATGTATCCCATGCTGGATAAGAGGATACGTGGGGTCAGAGAAAGCTGGGCGACCACATCACAAGGACGCTTGGGTTCGGTACTGACCCTGTGGTCATCATCCTCACCACCACCATCATCCTCTTCATCCCCCACCACCATCATCATCACCATCATCTTCTTCATCCCCATCACCACCACCATCATCTCCATTATCACTGTCATCATCCCCTTTCTCCGTCATTACCATCTTCATCCTCTTCATCTCCATTACCACCACCATAATCACCATCATCACCACCCCCATTCTCCATCATCATCATCATCCCCATCACCACCATCATCACCACCAACATCCTCTTCTTCCTCCCAATCATGTGGATTGCTCTGTGCTAGGAATTAGAACTTAGAACACAGAGAATCATCCCATGGTTAAGGCATTTGGGGTCTTATCCTAACACTGCTTGTATTAGAAGAGAAAACGCTGCTGCAGTTAACTCCCTCTTCTCTGCTGAGTGGACAAAGGACAGGCCCTCCTCGTTAGCCTTGTTGTTATTTTTCTGTTATCTTTATTCCAACTTCTCAGAATGGACAGGTTGTAATCGCAGGACATGGGCACCAGTCCACCTCTTCCCCCGCGGCCACTCCGAGGAGCGCTATGCCAGGAGACAACAGCCAGGGCGAGGACAGCGAGAAAGGAGACCTCCCTTTTGGGAACACTGCATTCTCTATCCCATTCCCACAGGTCCACAGCACATTAATACGGGAAGGAATTCTGTAGGCACCTGGTTAATGTCACTCAAAGCTCATGAGGTCAGGAGAAAGGAAAAGACGAGTCTGAGAAACGTAGTGTGAGCCAGCCTTTGGCAGCCTTTGTGGAGAGGGTGACCCATGGGCCGAACCTCACAGTCCAGGTTTGTAGAGGGCCACCCGTGGTGCCTATACAGGCAGGGCCTGCAGTGCCCAGCTGCCATCTTATCAGTGAGAGAACACAGGGCACACACAGCTGAGTCCTACCACTGACAAGGGAGAGAACTCGGTCTGTTTTAGTTCCAGTCTGGAAGGACATGACGACTTTGGCCCACGTAGGCTCAACGCTTGGCCTTGACGGCGAGAACAGAGACCCTGTGGCGGGGCAGCCTGCACCTCCCCTTCCCTCTGTACTAGACCACGAAGGGCAGGCTCTGCCTCATTTTGGATTCTCCCTCTCTCGCCTCGTTAAAGAGCACTCCCAATCTTGTGGATGAAATCGAAGACACCCCAGCTGGGGCTCCAGAAGCACCAGAGCCAGAAAGAACTCATCTCTTCCACCCATGACAGCAGGAATGCCAGCTCCTGGCAGTCTCCCTGGAGGGCGGTTTGGAGAACGGCCGTGGGAGTCTTGCATGTGTCGGAGTGCCTCCAGCTTTGGCCTTGGGCTCTCTCGCTCCTCACTCAACACTTCCTTCCTGTGTGGTGGCATTCACACCTCAGGCTTGAATCATCTGTCCAGGCATCCATGCCTACCTGATATTCACAAATCACCTGCTCATCTCCCAGCCCCACACCCAGGCTGACAGCTGCCATCCGGGCCCCTCCCCAGGGATGTCTTTGTAGTCATCCTCATCTTCCTCCTTGAGCTCGGTGCTCCTTGCTTTGTGTATTGAAAAGGGAGCAGGGCCGATCCTTTCAACCACACCAGGCACCCACAGGTCACACTCTTCTCCCTGACGCTTCCAGCCACACCCAATCCCACTGCAGAGGCCTTTGGCTTTCCCTCTTCAATGCCCCAACCCTCTCTCCCTACTCTGACCCCTGCCTTAGGACACCTCCTGCCACTCCCAGGGGAGACTTATGGCTGGCCATCTTCCATGATGTTTTCCATAGGCGACCAAGATGATGTTTTCAAAATGCAAAGCTGTCCCATCAGCCCCTGACTCCAAGCCTCCCATTGGCTCCTTGTTGCTCTTAGGATAGCATGGCGCTTCTGCACTGGGGCCCTGTGGGGGCGCATCTGCACTGCCCCTTCCAGCCTGCCCTGTCCTATGCCTGCACCTGTTTCTGTCACCCCTGCCACCAGAGGGCTCTCTCTGCTCAGAATCCCCTTTGTCTAACTACTTCTAGTATCCTACAGAACCGTGCCTTCCCCAACCAGGCCAGACCTCACTGCAGCTGTCACCACGCACATCTGTTTGCGTGACATTTGGGATTAATACCCACACCATCCCTCCTCTGGGGTCATATGTGGCAGAAATGCAAGGGTAGGGCTTGTTTCAAGTTATTTGATTAAAATATTTAAAATTAAGAATTCCTTTTTTCCTTTATTTGAAAAAAAAAAAAAAAAACAACCCAGAAAGACAGAGATCTCCAATGCGCTTATTTACTTCTCAAACACCTGCCACAGCCAGGGCTGGCCCAGGCGGAAGCCAGGAGCCCAGAACTCCAGCTGGGTCTTCCACACGCGGGGCAGAAACCCAACGTACTTGAGAGGCCACCTGCTGCCCGCCCGAGGTGTGCTTCAGCAGGAAGCTGGGTTGGAAGTGGAGCTGGGTCATGAGCCCTGGCACCGCCACATGGGTGGGTACATCCCTCGAGGGGCTTTCACCACTGCACCAGGTGCCCATCCCCAATTCCTGTTTTATGATGGAAAACATCGATACCCGGGCATCCCTGGCATGAATTCTGCCTGTTTTGGAGCCACTGTCTGTACCCTGCTGTCCAGTACAGAAGGAAAACAGCCCAAGGCCTTCCACTTCCAGGGTCGGAAAGACCCAACGAACAGGACTGTCTACCACAATTGTCATCTCAGCACGATTGATAAAGGCAGAAAATCAGAAGCCGCTTAAGAAGCCACAATGGGGGATGGGCTCATAGAACATGGGATGTCACAGCCCCTGGAGTGCCCTCCCACCACCCCTAACCCTCAGCCAGGCAGGGAGACGATGCAGGACCACATGTACTGACTCAGGTAGGGTTTTCTGATGACAAAAAATCAGGAACAAACTGAAAGTCACGGAGTGCAACATGACGGTTAAAGAACACGGCACCGAACGTTGTTCTAAGTACTGTGTGTCTCAGTGCCCGGAACCACCGTAACAGATGGACACTCCCGATCATGCCCAGTTACAGGTGTGGAAACTGAGGCACAGGAAGAGTCAGTCATGTGCCCAGTTATTTCCACACGCAGAGAACTTCCTTGCAAAGTACAGCATCTGACAGTCTCCTGCTGTGGGACGGTCATGAGCACCAACTCCATTAAGCTGTCCTTTGTGTGTGTCACTTTCACCCAAGGACCATGCCCCCTCGTGCGTCTGTAAGGAAAGTCATTTCTAACTGGAGAGGGAGACCAAGAAGGAGATCTTTGGCCACAGGCCTGCCAAGCCTTCCCAGCATGGGAGGGCTCAACGCGGCGTTTCCAAGCCAGGCCACTATGTGAGAATAAAAGCCCCAGTAACCTTTGTCGGAGCTGGGTGGCTGGATGCCGAGATCCCTGAGGAGCTGTTCCGTCTCCTCCAGCCAGGACAGCGACAGGCCCAGGATGTCCCGTGTCACCTTCTGGAGCCCCGACACAGGCGGGCTCACCTGCAGCTGCTGCAGCAGGGCCACCTCCTTCTTCAGGTCGCTGCTGCAGCAGGATGCTTTCATACAAGCCTGGGGGGGAGCGGGAGAGAGAGAGGAGGTCATGGGGAGCCCCGTCGTGACATGGCACCCACTGTGACCGGTGGGGAGTGGTGGTTGTTTGTGACTTGGCTAAGAAACCAACTTCCCTGCAGGTCCCAGTTGTTTGGTGGGAGGGAGAGCTGGGCTTTTTTTTTTTTTTTTTTTGTACTCTAATTGGAATTTCTAAGGGTCCAAGCAAACCCATGTTTTAGGAAAATGCCATCCCAGAGCCAAACACATTTCCCCGGAATGATTTGGTTGACTTCAGTTCATCAAAATTTGTGCCGAGTTCAATGCACAAGTTGGCCAGAGGGGTGGTGGTTTCCTGATTTCCTGCCGGAGTGATGATGTGCCAGCCCTTGCACAGGATCCCCTTTGAACAGTGACTGCTGACTCCCAGAGCAAGCAGAAGCAGCTGCAGCCTCTGATAAGTCAGCTGCTTGGCGGCCACGGCAGGTGCAGCCAGACCTTCTGGGTCCTGCTCCCAGCCAGGGTCGAAACCCATGGGTAGAAGCAGCCGCCCAGGGCTGGGCCAAAGCAGAAGCACCAGCAAAGAGCTACAACTGTCCTTTGGCTTCTCTGAAAGTAACAGAACCCACAGGTGTGGAGTCTGCAGACACCGAGGGCCAGTGCCATGTGAAGATGCCTGGGCACCTTTCCTTGGTTAGGCCAAATTCACCTGGCAGGGAGGGGAGATGAGGGTGTGACGTTCCCTGGTCCTCTGTTCCACAACATGAGGAAAGGGCTGAGGTGTTCTGCCCACTGCAGTTCTCGAAAAGCTGGATGTTTCCCCAAGCACAAAAATAAGACACGAAGGATGCGCGAGGGGAGCGTCACGCAGGGCACCTGGCAGCCGTCCAGCGACGCCTTCAGCTTCTCCACATTCTTCGCCGTCTCCTCCTGCCTGGAGTGACTGAGCTGTGTCTCCTTCTGCAGGTTCCAGCGCTTCTGCTGAAAGTTCATGTTGTCCTCTGTGACCTGGGCGATCTTCTCTATTAGCTGGCGAGGAACGTAGGAAGGACAGAGGTTGCTCTGGGGTAGGGGGACCTGGGGCAGGGCAGAGCAGGCAGGCAGGGCAGGGCAGGACAGGGCAGGCGGGCAGGCTCTGACAGAGGACTTAGCTTTTGAGGGGGTCAGCATGGGACTCTGGGAGCAGAGAACCTATTTTTTTTTTCCCTCAGGAGCTGCGGGCCTGTGCTGGCTCCCTGAGCTTACCCCAATTGCCCTGCACCTGCCCATGGGTCACACCAAGCCCAGGAGATGGATAGAGCCAGTCACCCCCTGATCAGGGCAACTCCCAGCTTCGATCTGGAGGACGGGAAAGCGGAAGTGGCGACAGCCACCATCCGAGGCCTGTCTGCATCGCCACAGCTGTCCTTCCGGCACTGACTCCAGGGCTAGCAGAGGGGACTGACCAGGAGCGAGCCGCCTGGTTGGGGTTGACTTTGGCAGACACATTTCGGGCTTTTTTTCCCACTGGCTTTGATTTGAGAAGCCCGGAAATCCCAGGAAATCAAAACAAATCTTTATGGTGTAGCAACAGTGCAAGAAATATGTGCCACCAACAAAAACAGAAGCATATGCTCTCGGGGTCTGGCATCCGGATCTCTGGAGAAGGAAGGATGGAGTGTTGTGGTGATGGTGGTAGTGGGGGGGTGGCACGCACCTGCTGGTCGGTGACCGGCTTGTCCTGGAAGGGCTTCACGCGTCCGTAGGTGGCCTTGATGATCTGACTTCTGAAATGCTCCAGCTGCAGCATAAAGTGGGGACAGTGGTGTCAACGGGGGGTGGGGGGCGGGAAGTGGCGAGGGCAGTATTTCTGCCGCGGATCAAGGAGAAACCACTGGTCTACACATCCAAAGGGGCTTTGTGTGTGATGAAAATTGTTAATGACTGCACACTGGAAGTGGCGGTGCTCCCGGGAGGACGGGGGGGAGAGGGTTTTAATTACTTCTTGGGCAGGCTTGCCTAGTTTCACCGAGGTACATGGTACACACACACACACACACACACACATACACACACACACACGCCTCAAGCTCTCACAGGAGCCAATCATTGCCAGTTATCCAATGAGAAGTCTGAGGCCCGGGGCGCTTTTCTGTAATTGCTAAACTGGCATCAGGCTGTGAAATGAATAGTGAGGCTGTCAGGCCCGGAAAATGGGATGACAGCAAGGGTGTCAGGTCAGAGAGAAGGCGGTTCCTTCTCCTGCCATGGATGGGAAGCACCCCTGTGACCACGCCCGGCATACTCGCTGTGTGTTCCTAGAGCCTGGCACACAGCCTGGCATGCAGCAGGCACTCGGTCAGATGTCCAGGGGGCAGCCGCAGCTGTGAAGGGCGGGGTCTTAGACTCGAGTGTAAGAGGGTTCTGGTGCCTTCATCCTGGGTGCTGGTGTGTGCAGACCCAGGGGGGTAGCACTGTAATATGGAGCCAGTACTTAGGAACCCTGAAGCCAGGATATCAGGGGTCCATCAGGAGGGCAGAGACCAAGAAGCTCTGTTCCGCACGGCAGCACTAGGCCTGGCTTTGGTCTCCTGGGCGAAGGAGGTTGTTATCTTTTGCTGTATGGGACCTAGAAGCTGCCCCATGGGCCAGAGAATCCACCGCAGGGCAAAGGGTCCTGGACCCAGGCCTCCATAATACATGACGTAGTTTGGGGCAACCACGTCAGTGAAATGGTGACCACCCTGGGGGGCCACCCTGAGTCACCCCAGCAGGGGGCAGCCAGGGTCATGGACCGTATGCTGAGCTCCTCCCCAGTTCTGTGGCCCAGGGAGCCCCTGCTTACCCAGGGATGGGTGTGCAGAGAAGGGTTTGTGAGCTACGGTCATGCGAGAGGACAGGTCACTGGCCTGGGAAGGGCGGGATGTGGGACAGGGATGGGGCGTGGAGACAAGGGACGGAGCCGTGGTTCCTCTGAGTGCTGGTGTGGGAGCACCTGGTCACACAGCGAAGTGCTGGCACGACAGGGACTGGAGGCAGGGTGGGGTAGGGACGTCTTCCAGGATTGCTTTCCTTAAGCTTTTAGGTGGTTCCAGCTTCCTGCCCTGGGCTCCTGTTTGCTCTCTCTTACCCTTGTGTAAAGTCTCGCCTGGTGTGTCCTGGCTTTGGGGCCACTGGGCCATCTCGGCCTGGGCATTGGAGGAATGGCCCTGTCTAGGACCTCCCTCACCCGCCCCAGCGTGAACCCTGGGCATTTTGAGAGAAGTGATATTTCTTTACTGACACTGTGACCTACTACGGGTGATGGGTGGTGGTTAGGGGAAGAACAGCTCATCAATGTCAGAACCAAAGATACTAGGGAAAGTTCTAGTGGCACATGGGTGGTCCAAGGCTCGATGGGGTCAAGTGTTGAGCTCGAATTGACTGTCTGGCCAGGGTCTCAGCCCCGTGAACCATGGGAATGGGTACCTCCCTGGGGATGCTTCTGAGATGGGAGGAAGGCTGGCATCCTGTGTCCTTAAGGTCACTGGGGTGTTAGGATGAATCCCCCCTGCCCTGCTGGTCACTCAGGTGTGCAAACCATTGGGGGACAGGGGCCACGGAAGCTCCAAGCCTACCTGACCTACTGCCCTCTCCAAATTGGTTTTAATGAGGCTCTCTCTGTTCCCCATTTCTTGCAGCTGACGCAATTTCCTTCTGGAGTCCTCTTGAAGCTCTTCGACCTGGAACAACCATGAAAGCATGTGCCTGCTGCTAATGTGCGTGTAATGCACTCTGGGGAAGTCGCTCTGGGAGGCCTAATGGCCATGGGGGGTGGTCCCCAAGGGCTAGGGGCAGCTGCAGTCTCGAGTTCAGGGTCACGGGCCTGCACAAGGTGGATATGGGGATGCGTGGCACCACCCTCCCGGGGGGGAGGGCCAGGGTGTGTCCCCTGGGCTGGGCTTCTCCATTTCCAGGCTTCAATTTTGGCTCTCAGTCCCTAGTCGTATGACATGGGCAGGTCACCGCACTGGCCTGGGACGTGGTCTTCACTCTTGCCCTAGTAGAGTCATTGGGGGAAATGCAGACAATTCAGCATAGGGGATGGGACTGTGGCATTCCATATTGGAGTGCTGGTTTGAGCCCCAACTGCTCCACTTCCGATGTGGCTCCATGCTAATGCGCCTACAGAAGCAGCGGAAGTTGGTCCAAGTATCTGGACCCCCTGCCACCCTCGTGGGAGAGCTGGTTGGAGTTCTAGCCTCCTGGCTTCAGCCTGCCCTGGTCTGGCTGTTACAGTCCTGGTTGATCTCTCTCTCTCCTATCGCTCTGCCTTCCAAATAAATCAGTCTAGGCGAGTGTGTTCTGTTTGGTTGTTACCTGTATCAGGTGCAAGGGGACTCCCCACTGTGCAGCATCTCTGATATTGTAAATAACTGGCCCAGGTGGGGCACATTAGCGCACAGTTAGGCTACTCCAGGATTTATTACTGTCCTTTTTACTGTTAGTGCACCTTCCAATGCAAGCCAGTCGGTGAGCTTGCTAAGTGGTGGCGCTGAAGGAATGATCCCAACTGGCAAAATAAAGCGCTGGAAGCCTATTAATTCTTCCCTTGCTTGGGCGGTAGACAGCTAGCATGTGTTCTATGCTGCCCTCTGCTGGCTACTGCACTGCTCAGCTCCTGTCTGAACAACGACTACCGCTCCTTTTCAGGGGATTTGGGGCCAAAGTAAATCTACGTTTATTAGGCGGCTGGAGAGACAAGTTTAAAAATCCTAGGAAAGTCTTCTAAGCAGCTCTGTCCCCCGGGAAAGGTGGGCAACCCCTCTGGGCCATGACTGCCTCACTGGACTGCCTTGCCGTGCTCTGTCTTGGATGACGGTGGCTGCATCTGCCTTCATCTGCCACGTGCATCTAATCTCCACACACGGCATCCCCGTGCCCAAAGCCTCAGCTCAAGGCTGTACTCGGAGCATTTCTAGACCCCAGAGCTGCTGTGATGATGAAGACCTGCTGGGTACCCTGTCAGGGGACCTGGTAAATGACTGATGCTGTCTCCACTGCTGTTACTGGTTCCAAAGTTGGTCATGTCAGTCCCTGCTTCCGGTAGCTCCTTACTGCCTGTGTTGCATGTAGCCAGGCTAATGGAAAACACTAGGCCCAAGGGTGAGCCAGGAAGCCCGTAGGAACTCCACATAATTAAAAGACAAGGAATCCACACACAGGCGAGTCATAAACAAACTACCGAAAATCAAGGGACAAGAGGATTTAAAACCCAGCCAGAGGCGCAGAGATTCCAGCATGATGCAATCGTAAGGCCTACGGTAAGGCAGAGACAAAAGACCAGTGGATGCTGTACCTCATGCTGCCTAAAAGACACAGAAATAGTGGCCGGGCATGAGTGTGGGGCAGCAGGGCTGAAGTCACAGCTTGGGGTCGCCTCCTTCCATCTCAGAGTGCCAGGTTCAAGTCCTGCCCCTCTGGTTCTGGTCCAGCAGCCTGCCACTGTGCACCCTGGGAGGAAGCAGGTGACAACCCTAACGCCGGAGTCCCTGCCACGTATGAGAGAGACCCCAGTGGAGATCCAGGCTCCTGGCTTGGCCGGGCCCATCCCTGAATGTTGTGGACATTTGGGGGAGTGGAGCAGCAGAGGGAGAATCTCTCTGTACCTTTCAAATGGAACGTAAATGAGAAATGAAGCTTCAGAAAAGGAAATGTAAATGTAGAATTTAACATGTGTCAAAATCTTATTTTGAGACCTGAAGTTGAATACAGGCATTCCAGACACACGTGTGCATGAACACACACACACACACACACACACACACTTCTGGGGCAGAGCCACATGAAGACACACTACGGGGTGATCGGCAGGTAGGAGACGCCCCAGGAAGGGGTGACAGTGGGTATTCAGTGTATAAAACCACTAATACTTTGTTGGGTTTCAAGTAGAAGGAGCTGTTTAGATGAGGCAAGTCAAGTCAAGGTGTCAGCACTGAGAGCTGTTGTCTGCCAAGTCACCAGGGGATGCTGGAGCCTGGTTGAAGATGCATGTGGGAACCTTTAGGATAACCACAAAGGAATGAAAACTTCCTCAGCTAATACAGAGGGAAAAAAATGGATACAAGACAAGAGAGTACAAGATTAGCACAGGAGGTACAATAGACAAGGAGCAAGAGGAAATCGAAACCTCAGTATTCCAGCAGTGACATTGCTAGAGATGAACTGAAAGATCGCATCAACCAGATGTTACAAAAACCACCTGCTGTTATCAAGGATATGTTTAAACTCAAAGAAGAACTTTCAGGAGAGGCATGAAGATATGCTATGAAGATTCTAACTAAAACACGGCAAGTGTAGTCAGTGGGATTATATCTGTGACCAGGTAGGCTTTTGAAGGAGAAACACCACTAGAGACACAGGGGGTGTCTCGTGACAGTCAAGTCTTGGTTCGATGTGAGACGCTAAACTTCTATGCACTTAGCAATACACAATGCACAAATGAATGATAAATAGACCAATCCACAATCGTGATGGCCTTAAAAAAGATGCCTGTCTTAGCAATGGACAGAACAGGAGAAATTAGGTGTTAAATACAAGTGGCCCATGGGCTGCAATGGACGCCTGCAACAATGAACAAAGAACACATCTTCAAGGGGGCACAGGTGGAACCAGCACCGACCACAGGCAGGTCATAAAGAAGCCTGCTTAGTAACAAAGGGTGGAAATCATACAGCGTCTTCTCTGACCACAGCGTAAGCAACCAGGAACTCCTTGTGTGCTTAGAAATGAGGAGGTAATTTCAAAACAACCCTTGGTTCCGAGGAGAAATTGTGATGGCTTGAAAAACTTCATCTGGCTAATGAAAATCCTATGCACTAAAATGTACGGAGTGCAGCTAAGACTTTATTTAGAGAAAAATTCGTAGTCCAGAGAGCAGTTTGATCCCATGATCACAGGACTATAGCCCTGTTAGTCAAAAACAAGCTTGGTAAGTTCATGATTCTGCAATTATTTCTCTCTGGGTCAATTCTTTTTTTAGGTCAATTTCACAATTATGATTTGTTTCCTTTATAAAGGCATTTCAGAAAGTTCATGGAAAAACAAAATAAAATATAAATTTATTTCAGCTTAGAGTTTTTTGAAATCCATGCATATGAGAAGTCTTCAAAAAAGTTGATGCAGAAAATGCACAGCTATAGAAAAACTATGCATGGATTTAAAAACATTTTTGCACAAAAACATGCATCTTTTGGTTTCATCTTCCACAAGCTTCTTTAAGATTTATTTTTGTAACTTGAAAGAACTACAGAGAAGGGGGGAGATGGTCAGAGATCTTCCAGTCATTAATTCCCCAAATGGCTGCCTAGGCTGGAACTGAGCTGATCCAAAGTCAGGAGCTTCCTTTGGGTTTCCTATGTGGGTGCAGGGGTCCAAGGCCTGGGCCATCCTCCTTTGCTTTTCCAAGCCATACACAGGGAGCTAGATCAGAAGTGTAGCAGCTGGGACCTGAACCAGGTTCATGGGTGAAAAATTAGCCTGCTATGCCACCATGACAGCCCCTCCACAAACTTCTTGAAGCAGCCTTGTGTAAAGGTTTTCCAGGCCATATCACATTTTTGCCAATCATAACTCTAGCATGATAAGTTTGATTTCATGACCCTAGTTTCTTCCAGGTCTCCTTTCCCAGATTACATTTTGCACAACTCAACTTCTTTCAAGGGTATTGGATTCTCCTCTGGTGTGTAGGCAGTGGCAGGCGTCAGCCTGTCTGGTTTGAATTGTGGGTTCAGTCTGTTGGAGTTACTTCTGTTGAGTCTCTTTTGCTGTCCTGCATGGCATGTGACTCCCAGACAGCTTCCTGTGGGTTTGTGAGGTTTACATGGTTTTAGCTTCTGGTGAACATTTTGACAGTCACATTCTGGGAAAAGTGGGGGAATGGTGGGTCATTTGGTTTGTTTGTTTTTGACCATCCCCTGGCTTTGCTGTGTAGTCAGAGCTCCCAGGCTGTTTACACTCGCTCTTAAACAGACCGAGCTTCCTCTGAGACATTCATCTACCCAAGTGGGTGATTCAAGCTGAAAGGACACGGACTTTGCCCAGCTGGCTCAGGACCCTGGTGTGACATGTTAGTTGACAGGCCGTGAAACATGCGACCCACAAACATCTGTTATATGACTCTTCACTTAGCTGCTGCTAAGTTTACAGGGGTTGGGTAGAGCCCAGGCCGTGGACTTCTTGAGGCCTGTGACATGTTTGGGTCTTGCCATGCCCAGGCAATCACAGAGGGGACTCAAAAGTCAAGGCATTGATGGCAAGCTGATTTTTAAGTGGATAATTTTGGGGGAAAGTCCTGGGGCATAGTACGCTAAGCCACTGCCTATGATGCTGGCGTCCTATATGGGTGTTGGTTCAAGCCCCAGCTCTTTCACTTCCAATATAGCTCTCTACTAATGTGCCTGGGAAAATGGCAGAGGGTGAGCCAAGTGCTTGGGCTCCTGCACCCATGTGCGAGACCCAGAGGAAGCTCATGGTCCCTGCCTTCACAGAAGCCCAGCTCTGGCTGTTGCAGCCACCTGGGGAGTGAATCAGCAGATGAAAATTTATTCTCCTCTTTCTCCTGTGACTCTACCATTCAAATAGTTAACTACATCTTGAAAAAAAAAAAGATGGATGATTTTGTACAGTCTGCAGATGATATGATAAATATTCAATAGCGTAGGGCAGAAAAACAAGTGCAGCCTTGGAAGCAATGGAAACTTCTATGAGGATGCACATGTTCTGCCTGTGTGCTGTCCAGCCAGGAAGCAGCCACTGCCGTGTACCCCAGGCTGCTCTTTCCGATAGCACAGGTACACAGGACTCTCGGCTAATGTAGGTCGCCAATGATGACAAGTGTGTGTGTGTGTGTGTGTGTGTGAGTGAGAGAGATGTTACATCCACTGACTTCTGGAGGTGGAGGTGGGTCCCATTAAGAAAAGCAAGGAGGAGCGTTACAGGGCAGTCCGCGGTAGCGACACCCACGAAGGCTTTGGAGCTAGACCTGGGCTCTAGCCTTGCCACAGCCACTGAACAAGGGTTGTCACTGCATAGCTGCCTCTGCCTGAGACCCCTTCTTGTCTCAGCGTTCCTGAGGGCTTCATACCAGCGCCGACCACACGGGGTCGCTGTAAGCGCCCAACCCCAGCTGTCCCAGCGCCGACCACACGGGGTCGCTGTAAGCGCCCAACCCCAGCTGTCCCAGCGCCGACCACACGGGGTCACTGTAAGCGCCCAACCCCGGCTGTCCCAGCGCCGACCACACGGGGTCGCTGTAAGCACCCGACCCCGGCTGTCCCAGCGCCGACCACACGGGGTCGCTGTCCCAGCGCCGACCACACGGGGTCGCTGTAAGCACCCGACCCCGGCTGTCCCAGCGCCGACCACACGGGGCCGCTGTCCCAGCACAGGACCCCAGCTGTCCCAGGCCTGAAAAGACGTGACCCCAGTGCTCACCCACCCCTGGGCACTTGGTAACCCCGTACCTTGCTCTTTTCACGCAGCATCTTGGAGATGACGGTCTGCTCTGTGCTGCTCTTCCTCAGCGCCTCCCTCAGCTTCTTGATTTCCTTCTCCATGTCTTGGATTTGCTGAAAAAGTTTCAACAACAGCGAAATGGGCTTCCTGAGGCGGCAGAGTCGCTGCCCACTGGGCCCAAAGGCTGGGGCCAGGTGGGCTAGTCCCTTCTACGGCTGCGGACCAAGGAGATATGAATTCACATGCTGTCTTCAAACAGTCCAGGAAAAATGAATGAAATGAAAATGAAAAGAAAATCACACATAGATTACACAGTGTTTGCACCAAAATAGACTTGCACTTTCACCCCATCTTGCATGAACTGTTTGAAGGACCCTTGCCCTAGAAGGGCTGAAGAAAGGAGAATGACCTGTTTCTAGACTGAACGTCAAGTCACGCCCATTGATGCAGCAGGACCTTCCTCTTAGGGCGCAGTCTTGAGGTCAGCCCAAAGCAGGTGGCGTTCCCTGCCCTCCGTCTTTGGGTAGGGAGTGGCAGTGTTCCTGGCCCACACCGTGCCAGTCTCCTCCTGGCATGTGATAGGGTTGAGGAGCCGAGTCTCCCAGCTTGGGAGAAGTGACCACCTGGAGGTGGTGGGGGGCAGGGGGAGGAGAGGGTGGTCCAGGGGAGGAGGAGAGGGTGGTTCAGGGAAGGAGAGGGTGGTCCAGGGGAGGAGGAGAGGGTGGTCCAGGGAAGGAGAGGGTGGTCCAGGGAAGGAGAGGGTGGTTCAGGGAACAGACACTAACATCTCAGTCCTCCTGCCTCTGGGTTGTTCTATGACTTGGCGTGAAGTGAAGCATTTAAATAAAACTACTTAAGGGAGGAGTTTGTGCCAAGGACAGTGCTGTGCCCATGATAACATTCCAGCCTAAGCTTGGGCGTCACAGGTCTGGGGTCAGGCAGGTGAAGATAGCTTGGCTGGTCTCCCGTTTCCATCCCCAACCCTGTCCTAACCCAGCCTGGCCCCCAGGAGGGAGCCCCACGGGCCCCAGAGTCCCCGGGAGACAGGAGACAGTTCCTCCCTTGGTCTTCCTGCTGTAGCTGCTTGTTGGGGCTGGAAGCTAAGACAGGCTGAAGGCAAACATGGCCACACGGAGAAGCAAACGCAAAGCCCGGGGTGCTGGGCTGGGTGCCGCCCGTGTCTCCGTGGGCGCCCCTGCGGGGGACTCTGACTCACAGCTTTGCAGGTGCTCAGCTCTTTCTCCTGGGCGTCCCTCAGGTCCTTCTCAGCATCTCCCTTCTTTAGCTCTTCTTTCAGGGCCGAGCACTAGGGAAGAAAGGGGGGCAGCAAAGGAGCAGGCCATGGTTGGCGACACGGGTGACCCCGAGAGCAGTTCCTGCTAAAGTATTCACACACTCGGGCGGCGAAAGGCGAGAGCCCCTGGGTCCTGGGTGCACCCTGATCCTGCAGCAGCCCCACGGTCTGCCCCTAGCCAGAAGTGTCTCCACCTGCTCTCACAGGCCAGCGGTCTACACCAGCCAGGGGCAGCCGTATGGGGGTCCAGGAGCCCACACTGATGCCTTCAGAGTTTTGTGCCTGCTACCCCCAGGGATGGAAGACGTGGGGCGGAAGCCTCACTCAGCGCAGTGTGGAGTGAGGGAGTGTGCGCAGCTGTGGCTGCCGCCTCCATGAGGAGGAGCGTATTTTAGGGACCATGGCGGTGTACGCAGTGACTGCCAGGGTCCGAGGAGTATCAGCAACGTGCGTGACAATGTCAAGAGGAGCCCGCTCTGCCCCAAAGCAGGATCACATTCCACACTGCGTGCACGAGAGACACCACTGTGCGGGTCTCGGGTACTAACTCAGGACCCCAGATGTAAAGTTCCGAAGCACCTGAGGGTACAAGCCCCCTGTTACAGCTGCATCTGCAGACGCCTCGAGGTCACGGCGGGGGAGCCGAGACACGGCTTTCGGAGTGGTGGTTCCTCTCTGCTCTTTCTGATTTCACGTCTTTCTGATTTCTGGTTTCCTCACACGGCACACACAATTACAGCGAAGGGATGGCGTTTCAAAGGTCTGTGATGGCGGCCTTGGGCACGAGGCAGCCACAGAACACGGAAGAGGCAGACCCCGCCCCCAAGGTCACAGACAAAGGGGAAACGGGGACAAACAGAGCCCAGATGCACTTGGAGGGTAGAGCAGGTGGTGGTCCCTCCTATTGTCCCCACCCAGTCGCAGCTCTACAGCCCATCCCTTCCTCAGCACACTCACACGCTCATGCCCTCACACGCATACACGCACACCACACGCATACACACACACATGAACTCAGGCACACACGTAACAAACTCACACACATGCACACAACATGCGTGGCGAGGCGGTGGACAATGCAGCAGCAGAGGGCACATCTAGAACCAACCCTCTTGCTTCCCAGAAAAAGAATTTGCCCCCAAAGGCAACCTCTGCCATGTCTGCCTGATGCCACAGCTCATGTCTCACCCTTCCCTAACTCCAAGTTGCTATGGCGAGGAGTGGCACTTGGTGCCCAGGTAGCCGGCCTTGACACAGGCCTTCAGGAGCTGTGCCCACCTTGGCTTGCATGCAGACCTGGTTAATCCACCTGGCACTGTCCCTATCAACTCTCTTGGGTTGCCCTCTGGAGACAAAAGCCTCGATTTTTCCCGTGACAAGCCACAGGTGAGCCAGAGACAGTGAGCAATCCATCCGTTAAAGTCAGCAGGGAAAGCACGCTTGGCCAGTAGTCCAAGTCCCATTTGAAATGCCCTCAGCCAGCCCGACAGGCTCATCTCACGAGCGAATGTGCACCTCAGGTCGAGGGGAAGAAATGGAAGCTGCACGCCTGCATGTTGACCTCCAGCCCTCTGCTTTGGGGTGACGGACAGAGAGGGGTGCACTGCAATGTTCCCTCTCACCGTCACACCAGCTTTCTGGGAGTGGACACAGGTGGGTGTGTGAGTGGCTGGCCCTGGCTGGGAGGCTGGTCAGCAGCAGGTGCCGGAGCTGAGCCCGCTCCTTGCTGACTCTGACCTGTGTGCACTCAGGTCTCTGCAAGGCTCCTCAGATCCCAAGGCTCCTCTGGGTGGGCATCTCATGCTTTGTGCCCCCCTGCCCATTTCTGCACCAGCCTTGTGGGGTGTGTGTGTGTGTGTGTGTGTGTGTGTGTGTGTGTGTGTGTGTGAGTGAGGGGAGAGCAGGTGAAAAGCCAGGTCTGAGAGAAGCATACTGAATGTGTCTCCCACGGTGCCCCTCTGCCACCTGTGGCCGCTGCCCACACTCACCTTGGAGCCCAGGGCTTCGAGCTGGTCATCCTTCTCTTTGTTCTTGCTTTTCAGCTCAGTCACCTGTTCTTGCAACTGCTGAACTTGCTCATCCCTTGCCAACATGTCTTTTTGCAAAGATGACAGCATCCCTGGAAGAAGGTTCAGGCAGAGAGGACATGCATCACAGCACCCCCGTCACTGCTGGGCACACAGGACGGGCATCACAGCACCCCTGTTGCTGCTGGGCACACAGGACGGGCATCACAGCACCCCCGTCACTGCTGGGCACACAGGATGGGCATCACAGCACCCCCGTCGCTGCTGGGCACACAGGACGGGCATCACAGCACCCCCGTCACTGCTGGGCACACAGGACGGGCATCACAGCACCCCCGTCGCTGCTGGGCACACAGGACAGGCATCACAGCACCCCCGTCGCTGCTGGGCACACAGGACGGGCATCACAGCACCCCTGTCGCTGCTGGGCACACAGGAAGGGCATCACAGCATCCCTGTCGCTGCTGGGCACACAGGACGGGCATCACAGCATCCCTGTTGCTGCTGGGCACACAGGACAGGCATCGCTGCAGTCCCGTCACTGCTGGGCACACAGGACGGGCACCGCTGCGGTCCCTGTCGCTGCTGGGCACACAAGATGGGCATCGCTGTGGTCCCTGTCGCTGCTGGGCACACAGGATGGGCATTGCTGTGGTCCCTGTCGCTGCTGGGCACACAGGACGGGCATTGCTGTGGTCCTGTCGCTGCTGGGCACACAGGACGGGCACCCTGGAGGGTATCCCCAAGCATCCCAGAGGCTGGCAGGGGCTGGGACCCAAATCCCTCAAACACCTCTTTCAGGTCTCAGTGGACACAGGGGGTGTCAGTGAGAAGCCCCTGGAGGGCATCAGCATGGATGGGCCCGGGGACCCCCGAGAGGAGCCAGGAGGAGCCGTGGGATGGGCTGGAGGTGAAAGAGGACGCCCTGGAGGCTGGCAAGGGGGCAGACGGCTGCACATTCTGTCTCTATGTGTATGAGCTGGGTGGTCTTGAGCAAGTTGTTTAACCTCCCGCCGAGGTCACAGAGCTATTGTAAGGAATGGAGGGCATGGAGGAGACCCCATCGGAGTGCTTGCAGTGTGATTCCCGTAACCATCTGAGATTTTCCGTAGAGGCACCCAGTACTCCTGGTCCCGGTGCAGCCTGCTCCCCATTTGCACAGACTGACGTGTACTGCCAAGAGGAAGCTGTGGAGCGAGTGGAGTTGATGCCGAGTGTCACTCAGATGAGCCTCATGGCTTCCCCGTGCCATCTCTGATTCCTCAGCCCGGGGAAAGCTCACCAGCACGCCGGGCAAGGGGGACACTCCGCTAACCATCGGGGAAGGCCCTTGTGGCGAGGACCCCCGACCTCCAGCCCCAGTACGAGGGTGAGTCATTCTGACCTCACTGTGTCATTGGGGATTATCCCGCAGGTTCTCTTCTTGGAAGGACACCTGTCCCAGGTTAGCGGCAGGTGGGATTCCATCAAGGCCATGCAGCCATGAACACTGCGATGCCCAGGTTCGTGTAGAGCAACAGCCCAGGGATGCAGTGGCAGCAGATGGAACCCTTGAGGGAGCTTGGCCAGGCAGGGCTAGGGCGGCCTCAGCCTACAGCTAACTCGGCCCGTGGTCCTACCACACCTTCTCCGGTCTCTGCCTTGTGTGTTCACGGGGTTTTCCCGTCCTGGGAACAGGAGGGGAGCTCTGCTCAGCTGAACACATGGTGGGTATTCTGCAGACCTGGGACTCACTCTGTATAGCCCCTGCCCACTCCCCCAGCTCCACTTGCTCCACTCAGGGGAGACCCCCGGGGTTCCCCTTTCTGCAGTGGCCTGGAAACTCTCTCGAAGTCAGAAGCTGAGGCAACTGTGGGGTCCATCTTGTTAGATTCCTCTCTTCTCTCCGCCCCAGGATCGTAGCCGTGGGCTTCTTGGGGTTCAACAGAGAAGAGCCACCGTTCCAGATGCCTGCTGCGTTTGGCTTTGGTCAGTTCTTTCAGGAGGAAGAGAAGATCCACAGGGGAAGATCTCACAGGGGAAGGGGAGGCTGCTGATGGGAAGTGGCAGTCTCCATCAGCCTGGGGGACCGACCCGGGTGGTGGAAAGACATGGGGCTGGCTCCAGAAGTACCAAGACTTGGGGGACACCATGATGACAGCAGAACAGCCTGATGCATCTCCTGCCTGACATTCAAGAGTGACAGAAGCGCAGCTTGTAAACCAGCATACCCTCCTCAAGGGCTGAGTCCTGGCTGCTCCACTTCTGATCCAGCTCTCTGCTAATGTACCCAGAAAGAGCAGCGGAGGGCGCCCCACGTGCCTGGGCCCCTGCAGCCACATGGGAGACCCAAAAGATGCTCCTGGTTGTGGCCTGGTCCTGTGCTGGTCGTTGTAGCCATTTGGGGAGTGAATCAGGGGATGAAAGATCTCTCTGTTTCTCCTTCAAAATAAAGACAGCTAGAGGACAGATAGATAGATAGATAGATACTCTCTTAGGGCTGACTCTGGGCCAGACCCTGAGCTAGGGACTGGACAATAAAGCTCTTAGAGGATGAATGCTAGCTCACTGCTAAGAGGACCCCTAAGGCTGCACTCCAGTCCCCGGACCAGAAGTACAGCGGTTGATTGGTGATGTCTGCCGTGGCCGTGAGCTCGGGGTTGTGGCTCCGGACCCAGTTCCAGACGCAGCTCACCGGAGGCAGTAGCGTGGTCCTTTCTGAGGTTCTCACCCTCGTTCTTCAGGGACGCGATTTCCGAGTTCCGCTCAGACAAGGTCTGGCACAGCACCTGGCTATAGCCCTTCTGCAGGGCACTGATCTGTCGGGGGAGGCAGCACACGGTCAGACGGCGGCCAGCCCAGGTGTGCGAGGCACAGTCACACAGGGAGTCTTGGCAGGTTGGGGAAACAAAGCTTTCCAGGCACAGGTGGGGCTCTGTGTCATCAAACATGAATCTTATCCTTTGCCTGGCTCCTTCCCGTGAGTTCCCCTGGCCTCTGGCTGCTCAGCCACAGACCTGAGTCTCGAGTGACCCAGCACTGAGCTTCTCTATCGAGACAGGAGCCGGTTCTTAAGTCCACGCATATAACTATATAACTAAAGAATTACTATCACATGAAGCTATCGCAGCTCACAACCCACACAGCCCACTCCCAGCCTCCCAGCAGCCCTGGACAAGGTTCCCATCACTGTTGCTCCTTTGCAAGGAGAGATCACTTGCTCTGGTGGGCAGGGCTGGCCAGAGGCAGAGCTCAAGCCCAAGCCAGGCCCTTCTGGTCTTGACCCCACTTCCTTCCAGCCACCTGGACGCATGCATGGCACTTGGGCAGCAGCTGTGGGGGCACAGCTGGACTCTGAGCTACACTGCAGCCACCCAGTGACTATGTGGACACAGGGAGACTGGAAGAGTATTCCAATTGTTCACCGTGGGGATGGAGGACGGCAGGCTGGCCTCGTGGCTTCAGGGAGGGTTTTACTCAATCAGCAACTGACCACACGTGACGGCCAAGGTCACTGTGTGGCGTTGCAGCTTTGGCCTCTCCTGGGGAAAGGTGCGTGGGTGAGATTTCTTTGTGCGCACCGCACTGGCAGCCTTTTCTAAGCACAGACACCGGTATGATTTTTTTTTAAGGTGAAGATACAAGAAGCTCCAGTAAAGGTCCATCCCGGCTTGGGCGTAGTCTGTGGATCGGATAATTGACATTAAGGGCGCTGAGCTCATTGCCACCAGAGGGCGCTCATGGACTGTGTTCTTGGTGTCCACTCTGCCGTCCTCAGGCAGGATGGAACCAACAGGAGCTTCCAGGTCTCCTGGCCTGTAAGGCTTGGCTAGCCGGTTTACAGTTGCTGCCACTGGGGTGACCACACTTACACTTCTCCGGGGCACCCGAGAAACTGGCGAAGGGTTTTTGCCAGAACGGGGGACAGGGAGGGAATTGAGATCATTCTTGTCCACTCCAGGGCCCTCTCTGGCATGCTTGTGCTTTGCAGGATTCGAGTAAAAAAGTTCTGTGTGTGAGGGAAATGCAACTTTCTCATCAAAGGACTTTGGGGTTTTTCCTCTTAATGCTTTCACCATCAAGATCCCCAGAAGCATAACACTGAGAAACTTCTAGAAGGGGTAAGAGACCATGCTCCCTTTCCTGGCCTCTGGGGTTGCCTGCTAGGAAACATTTCTACCTAAGTGTGGGAGAGGGTGTTAGGTCCCCACAGAGGACCTCTTCATCACTCCTGCTACTAAAAAAGACGAAAACAGTCCCCCTTGTCTGTCCTTAGCGTAAACTCCACGGTCTCAAGGCCTGCTATGTTGTATAATAAAATGGGAACTGAGTCATCAGGAAGTTAACGGAGCCTAGAAGAAGGATGGCTTCGAGCTGCAATTCCGCTGCCAATCGGCAAGGTGGCGCACGAGCATTTTCCATCACTCCTGTAGTGGACGTCAGGTCCCTGAGAACCGGTCATGGTCATGATGCATGCAGTTCTGGGGGCTGGGGCAGGACGTGCAAAGTCATGGAGAGAATGAACCAGCCTGCCATGCAGCTGCCACCTCGGCTGAGTCTGTGCAAGTCGAGGGGCAGCAAGGAACCCCAATGTGTGCAGATGGGTCCAGACGGACCAACCTTGGCCTCCAGTTCAGAGGGACCCTACTTTTCAGCTCCAGGGGGAAGGGGTCACGGTGGGTGTGTAGGCCTCCTTAGCCAATGATTTTTTTTTCAGATAGCTGTAGCTACCTTCAGTATTTTTGTAAAACATTATTTTCATTTTGTTTGAAAAAGGAGGGAGGGAGAGAGATTGATTTTTCCATACACTGAATTATACCCCAAATGCCCACAACAGCGAGGGCAGGACCGAGCCGAATTCAGGCCTCCCCTGTGAGTGATGGGGCCAGATACTTGAGCACCCACCACTGTGTCTTGATTGGCAGGAAGCAGCAGCCGAGGCAGGACTGAAACCCAGGCATCCTGACATGAGATGTGAGCAAGCAGCATACTGGTTGCCCACCCCTGTCCCTGGAAACTTTAAACCGGACTCCTATCACGGCCTCTGGACACAGACCCTGGGTAGGTGAGAATTCCTCATCCTTGTCTGTTCACCTGCACAGACTTGGCTCAGGAAAGTTCTGGAAGAGTCACCGAGAAGGCTATTCCTCCACAGGCTCCTTGTCACCAGGAAGCTGCTCGTGGCTAAGGTAAGGGCCTGGCAGAGCAGCACCTGCAGGAACCGTCCCTACAGGGGTACAGCTCACACTGCCCTTTCAGCAGGCCCCTGTTGCTGAGCTATCACAGCATGCTTTGAGCGGGGTGTTGTTTATTCTGACTCCGTCAACAAAACATCCCTGTGGGGCAGGGGGAGTCTGGGATCATGCTTGAGTACCGAGAGCCTGGAAGGGTAGATGCCTGGAGACAGGAGCCCAACGTGTGTTTACCTGAATGAACAAATGGATGGATGGAGAAGTGAGCAAGCAGGACCCGATTAAACACTGGGCAACGAGGCCCTTGTGAAGTTTACGCTCTCGGATAGAGGCTCCTTGGCAACACTGAGCAGAGTCCGTGTCCATTCCCAGGACACTCTTTCAGGCACTGAATGTGTACACCTTGAGCTGGGTCTAGAAGTCAGAGGCCACAGGCAGGGAGGGAACCAGTGCATAGAGGTGCCACTTTATGTTAAAAAAAAATTATTATTATTACTTCATATGTAAGTTGCATGAGAGGTGGAGAGGAAAGAGACAAGACACTCAGAGCAAGCTCCCAGCTACGAGTTCACTTCCCAGGCACTCACCATGGCCAGAGCTCGGCCAGGCAGAAGCAAGAAGCCAGACAGTCATTCTGGGTCTCCATGTGGGAGTCGTGGACCCAGCCATGAGAGCCATTGTCTGCAGGAAGGTGCAATGAGGAGTGGGGGCCCCATTGCTCCTCTGTGGGATGTGGAAATCCCCAGCACAACTGCCACCATCAGGCCAAGCACCTGTGTTACTGGTTAAGCAGCATTTTGCCTTGAGGACAAAATTCACCGGCACCCTTGGGATGTAACTTGTGAATGGACATCTCCCTATGGTGAGCCAGTAACTGCCTTTCAGGTACAGAGAAAGCTTGGGACATTGGGTGAGGGGTGGGGGAACCTCTGGGTTCCTGAGCTAACTGCCCACAGTCCTTGCAGGCTGGGGTCTGCGAGTGTGAGCGGCAGACACTGCAGTGACTGTGTTAACAGAAACAGGAAGTGGGGGTAAAGATGAGGTCTGCAGGAAGGCAGGCCTGGGGTCACACTGCTCCTGTTCCAGCCAGTTCCTGGGTGTCTCCGGGCCTGCTCCACCCCCTCGGCTGTGTCATGGGTATGTTAGAGGAAGTGCATGACCCAAGTTGGACATTGAAAGCTCTTGCCAACAGTGCTTGCTCGTGGCTGGTGTCTAACACATGCTAACATCAAGGACAACCAGTTAGCCGATTGGTTAAGCTTCCACCCTCCCGCGAAGGTGGACCCCGGGAGGCAGGCCCGATGGCTCAAGCAACAGAGCTCTGACCGCTCATGTGGAGGACCTGGGTTGCATTCCTGGCTCTTGACTCCAGCGCTGACCCAGCCCTGGCTGCCCAGGCACCCGGGGAGGGAACCAGTCAACAGAAGTTCAACGCTGCTTCGGTGTCTGCATGTCTCTCTTTGTCACTCCAGTAAATAAATGTTAAAAAATAATAATAGTAAAAACCAATATTGGAGCCAGCATTGCGGCTCAGTGTGTTAAGCTGCTGCCTGCAATACTGGCATCCCATATGAGTGCCTGTGGTGTCCTGGTTGCTCTGCTCCCTGCTAATGTGCCTGGGAAAGCAGTGGAAGGCAGACCACGTGCTTAGGTCCCTACCATCCACAGGGGAGACCCAGATGGAGTGTCTGGCTTCTAGCTTTGGCCTGGTCCAGCCATGGAAGTGATTTAGGAAGTGAACCAGTAGATGAACAATCTCTTTTGTTCTCTATCTCTTCCCTCTCCCTGCCCCCCATCTCTGCCTTTCAAACAAATCTTTAGGGGTCAGCTTTTTGGGGTAAGCTTCTGACTGTGACACCAGCATCTCACACGGTGTTGGTTTGAGTCCCAGCTGCTCTCCTTCCAATGATGCTCCCTGCTCAGGCCCTCGAGAGCCGCAGAAGGTGCCCAGGGTACTCGGACCCCCGCCACGGACCCAGAAGACTTGGAATTTCTTGCTCTGGCTTTGGCCTGGCCTAGCCCCAGCTGTTGAGGACATTTGCAGAATAAACCAGTGGATGGGAGAGCTCTGTTAGTTCTGCCTTTCAGATAAATCAATATGTATTAAAAAATAACACTCGTATTGTTCTTGACCATGCTGGGACCCTGTCCCGCTTCTAGTGGCATGGATTCGTGGTCCTGGTTGCCATGCCACACTAGCTGCCTGTTCTCCCGAAGCTCCTGGGGGCTCCCCTTGCTCTGCCCTGCATGGGCTTGCATTCCTGGTCGCCGTTCCACTAGCTGCTGCCCGTTCTCCTGGCCCTCTTGGCCCCCTCGGCTCTGCCCTGCGAGCTGTCTCCCTGCCCACGAGGCCAGGCTCTCCTCCGGGTCCTACCTGGCTTTTCAGACTCTCAATCTCCTTGTTCTTGGCCTCCAGGTCGTCATCCAGCACCTGGAGCTGGTGTGCGCTGTGCCTTTCGCGCGGCCTGCAGGCGGCTACCTCGGACAGTCTCTGGCTAAGCATGGCCACCTCGTTCTGCAGGTTGGCGATCACGGCGTCTTTGTACTTGGCCTCGATTTCAAAGTCCGAGAGACGGTTGACCTCTTTGCCCAGGAGCAGGATGAGTTCATCCTGGGTGGAGACCAGAGGGGGAAGCTCCCTGGGCGTGGGGCCAGGCACAAGGCTGACCCCCTGTGAAACAGGCAGGGGGAACTGGAGGGGCAGTGCCATGGTCAAGGGCAGGCAGGCAGGCAGGCAGGGCCAGGTGGGGTGTTGGTGCTGCCTCTGTTGCCCCCAGATACTCAAGTTTGAGTAAAATTACGCACCTGTCGGCAGACTTCCTGTACCAGGTGTGTAGGCCACAAAGTTAGGGAAACTTCCCCTCACCCTTAAATTACACTTCATGAGAACCACCCCACCTGGGGTCTGTGGGTTTCTTTTTTTTAATTAGCTCCCCCAGCCATGGTCTGGCACACTGGGAACCGGAACAGGTAATTAGGTAAACGATGTTCTATCCTACCCCATTCTGGCTGGAATGAGAGCTGGTTTTTAATTAAACAGTTTTTTTTTTATACATCCTTGAACACTTTCCCTTATGCCTCTCCTGGCGCTTCCTGCCCCTTCAGGTGCTCGGCATTAACTCCTGGAAGGAAGTGACAGGAGACTGGAGACTTCTCTGCCAGTTTCTCGTGAGCTTCAGGATAGAAAGGAGACCCCTGGCGCACGTCGCCTGAGGGTGCAGTTAACCCATGCTCCCATCACCGCAGAAGAAAAAGCTCTGGAGCCGAAAGACTTTCCCCAGAAGGAAAAATTCCCCTCAAACTTTTCTCAGAAATCATCATTAGCGTGCTGGGGAGATGAGAAAACATTTTCCCAGGACTGTTTTTATAAGTATCTACAGGATCTCCTGGGAGAAATTACTTTATTTAAAACCTGGTTGTTAATTCACTGTATTTGAAAGACAGAAGGCGGAAAGAGAGAGAGAGAGAGAGATTCCCAGGACAGTAGCAGGGAGCTGAGATTGGCAGCAGAGTTGGGACTCCAAGCAGGCACTCTGCTGGGGCACTCATGCATCCCAGTGACTGAGCCACTGTGTCCCCTGCCCTGATCGCTGTGAAAGGGAACCCTTCCCTCGCAACAATTTCCATCAGTTGGAAGGAGATACAACAGCCAGTTCCGGCCAGCTGACTGTCTGGCCCTCATCTGGGGGAGGGACAGGGTGGCCTGGCTGCGGAGTGTGTCTGGCCTCACCAGCAACCACCATGGTGCTTCCCTTGCTTTGCAAGAACGCTGCTTGCAAGAGCTCATGACCTCAGATTCAGTGTGGAAGTGAGAACTCCACCTGCTCCACCCGGCATCTCTCTGCCCAGACACCTGCTTTCATCAACACGGAGTGAGCACCTGATATGTCTGTGCCAGCCTGGTGCTGGGCAGCCTGCAGGTGTGAGGTGGTATGGCTAGGGTGTCTGCCTTTCTGATGAGCAGCCCATGCCCCTCCTCGGGGGGCTTCTCCCCGGACCCCTCCCACGTGCTCTGCCCCTTTCAGTCCTGCCTTTCCACGCCCAGGGGACCCTTAGCTGGTCAGGTCAAGTTTCTGAGTGATCTCCTGCCTTCGTGACAAGAGGAATGGATGTTTCTTCAGCTTCATAGAGCTCAGTGTGTCTGTGGGCTCAGCTGGCACAAGAAGGCAGCTGGGCACCAGGGCACACTCAGCAGGACAGTGCATTCTGACTGCATTATTTAAGCTCCTGGATCCAGCCACGCCTGAAGCTAGTCGGACTTTACGCTGTCCACTAAGAGGCCAATGCATGCCTTTAAAAAGGCCAATTGCTTCTTGTCACTTGCCCTGGAAGGACATAGAAAAAGTTGCAAATGTGGCTGCACTGTCACTCCAGTTTGGCACCGGGATGTATATACTCAGTGGCTACAAATGCTTCCAGGCGGTAGAGTTTGCTTTCCCTGCTCCCTAACTCCAGGCGGGCCAGCCCTGTCACTTGGTCTGACCATTGGAATGCCAAATGATCCCGAGTGCTCTGCAGGCAGGCTTGTAGGAGGCTATTCTGAGTCCTGGGGTCCCTGAGACCACTGCGTTGTGGAGAGGCTTGGGATGAAAAGTTGTGTGTGGAGAGGGCCTCACCATCCCATGAGGTCCCAGGCACCAGAATGGAGGCCACTTGAGGCTGTCAGTGCCACCAAGCCAATGGCTGACGGCAGCTGGGGCAGGGGGACCAGAAACCACCTGTGGAAGGACCAGCCTAGCAGACCCACAGGTGGTGGAAAATGCTGCCTTGCAGCCCTGATGGAGCACACGTGTTGGGCGCTTGTGACTCACAGTGGGTACAGAGCAGAAGCCTGGCGTCCCACCTGTGTACTGCGTGCCCCCAGCTCTGCTCTCAGCACACCTGCGGCTGGGAACTGTGGACTCCTGAGCACGCCCCCTCCCCCCCATGCGGGACAATGGCTCTGGCTTTCCACGGGCTCTGAGAACTGCCTCAGCTGAGGTCTGTGCCTTTTTGAGGTTGAATTCAGGACGTGGCCAAGCAGGGGAGAAACCAGTCTGGATCTAACCTCCCCAGGGTGGCTTCCTATTCAAGCTGGAACCGCTCTGTTTCCTGGATGAGTTTCCCCTCTCTTGCTCAGTGGCCCCCAGGCCTCCATTCCCAGTTCCTCCCACTAAGCAGCGCATTTTCTGCACGATTCCCCATCATTGGTGAGTGACTCAGCCTTGGCCATGTGGCAGGTGGGGAGTAGCAGCCTGGAAGTTACCCAGACCTGCGCGTGAATCCCACCTCTGCCCCTTGCACTGCGTGACCTCAGGCAAGTGCCTGGACCTCCCTGAGCCTGTTCTCCTTGGCACAGCGAGGGCAACAACGGCTTTGGAGACAATGAAGACACAATGCACTAATTAGCATCAAGGGCAGAGGTCTGGCACCCAGTAGGTGCTCAATAAACCTGCCATGGATGCTGTTGCTCTCCGGGATGTGTTGGTGGCATGTCCTCTTGGAAACAGGATGAAGGGGCATTTGGACTTGGCTGACGAGAGCCAGGGGCAGTGCCAAGTGCTTGCAGGGTCTGCTGCCTGCTGCGGCTCTGCCCTTCCCTGGAGACCCCTCACCTTGTCCTGCTGGCCCAGGTCCTGGTCCACAAAGAGCTCCGCGGCAGGCATGGCCCCCGGGATCCCATCGGCCATAGATTGCTCTGAAAACTCCATGGCACTGGTCCACACTAGGAAAGAGATGGAGGGGGGGCACAGATGGCCTCGTGAGCTCCCCAAAGCCCGTGGAACAGCGAGGCCCAGCCCTCATAGTCTTTTCCCCTGCACATCTGCATCTTGCGTGATTTAAAAACGTACAGAACAGGACGTGTGTTCGTGGCAGCCACCTAGGATCACGGGGAGAGGGAAGAGCCAGCTCACACTGCGTTCCTGCCCCATAGGTACGCAGTGCCCCTGTGTTTACTATGGCAGGTCTCCAGCCACTTTTCTTCTATGCCACACAAAAGCCGGTGGCTTTGGGCAGGTCCTTTAATTTCCCCAAGCCTTGGCTTCTGTATAAGTAATTTAGGGATGTGAATAGTCTCTATGACAAAGGTAACTCTGCGAAGCAAAGGAGACAGAGCAGGCATCAGCAGACCACGCCTGTGCAGCCAAACCTGGGCCCACCATTTGTTTGTTTTAAATAAAGTTTTATTGAAACACAGCCATAGTTACTCATTTATGGATCACCTATGGCTACTACTACCACTACTAAAACAGAACCGGCTAGTGGCAACACAGCGTGTAGGACCCCCCACTTCTTGCACAATCGCTGTTGGGCATCAGGGGGCCTGCCGTGGGATGTACAGGTGTCTTCGCTGCTGGGCTGAACACACACCACTGCTCCCTTCCTAACAGTAGCACTGGGCAAGTGCATCAATATCTATTTATCTGGGATCCACTTGATATTTAGATATTCCTGTTTTTCTCATTTATCCGTCATCTCATAAGGGCTGTATATGCGGCTTTCAGGGGTTCTGTCATTACTACGCTTGCAGTCCACTCAGGTCACCCCGACTTTGGCAGCAGTGGACACACTCGGGAAGATTCTGCTCTTGAGACAAACCGGCTGTCGGGGGCGCTAGTTTCATTTCGGACTGAGGTTCTGCACAACTGCCATGTGTTCTCATCTTCTTGCAAAAGTGTGGACTCAGCACTGCTGGGGGACACAGGTAGTGGCCTGCTGGTGCATGGCCTTGACCTCTGGATGGCGGGCTGCACCCTTGTGCTGCTAAGGCAGGCGGAAGAGGAGGAGCCCGCATTGCGGTAACAGAAGCAAGAGGCGGCGGCGATCACTGGGGTCTGGGTCCCCAGGAGATGTGGCAGGGTCTTCCGTGCCCTGCATTCTTTAGGCCCAGCACAGAGCCTGTGCGATGGCGCCTTGCGTTGGCTGCCCATGTGACGGCACGCCCTGTGTGACAGCTCCCTATGTGTGACCTCTCCTCTCTGCGGGTCACACGCCTGCCTTGTCCAGTCTGAGAATGGTTTCAGTCCTCAGTCTGTCAGCTTAGTTAGCTCAGGACCGCGGAGCATGAGGCACATGGACCAGGCCGAGCGCGCAAAGCGGAGGTTGGTTATCAGGGCAGCAGGAGGCTCCTGGCGGCTGGGAAGGGTCCCCAAAGGGCGGCTGGCTGGGATGGCCAGGCCTGTAATGGAGAATGCTCACCCAATTAGCCAAGGTATGCTACTGAAGTGTGCTTTTTTTTTTTTTTTAAGATTTATTTTTATTTTGAAAGTCAGAGGTACAGAGTGAGCAAGATAGACAGGGAGAGAGAGAGAGAGAGAGATTCATCTGCTGGTTCACTCTTCAGATAGCCATCATGGCCAGCTAAGGCAGGCATCCATGTCTCGGACCACCTTCAGCTGCTTTTCCCAGGCCATTAGCAGGGAGTTGGATCGGACCTGCAGTGGCGACACAAGCCGGCACCCCTCTGGGCACTGGCTTTCTGATCAACCACAGTGCTAACCTGGCTACTGTGAGACTCGGTGCAGCTGGAATGTAACTGGGTGGGGCAGCAATCGAGGGGCCTAACAAGGCGCCCTATTACACGGAGAAGTTAGCAGTGTGCTCAAGCAGGTCCCCAGTGCAGAGGCAACAGTAGCTGAAGTCCACGTGGTGTGTGTCTCAGTGTCCCAGGGCTCCTGGGAGGTTCCACCACGTGCTTGCCCCTCTCCTATCCGGGGGATCCCTGGAGTCCCCACCACCTGACACCCACCTGCCCTCACCGTCTACACAGCAGGGCCGACTCAGGGCCACAGGAAAGACCTGTTTCAGTTTATTTGTTACATTTTAATTATTTGTTTGTTTTAAACGATGAGAGACACAGATGGGGAATGGAGGCAGCGGCAAGAGAGATTCTGTTCACTAGTTCACACCTCCAATGCCAGGCCAAAGCCAGAAGCTGGCAAGAAACAGACAAAATTCCCTTATGCTCATGCAGGCTTGCTGAAGGCCGGTGTGTTCTGGGAGCTCCAGACGCTGCTCAGGGTGCTGGCTAAGTCCATTTCACAAACCCGGAGGTCTGTGGGCCACACTCTGTATTGCCAAGGCCTTTGGGTTGCATAGTCACCGGACCCTCCAGGCGGGCACATGTCATGCCAGATGGCCCTCGTCATCCTTAGTGCCGGCGTCCCGGGGAGCCTGCATGCACCTGCTGGGACAGCAGTGGCCCAGCACTGCACAGCTGGTTGTAATGGCAGCGGTTGCCTCCTCATGGTTTCAGAGACTGTAGGTCGGAAGCCAAGGGCTGACAGGGGGAGTTGCCCTGAGACATCTGCATTGGCTTGGAAATGCCATCTTGCGCATCCTCTGTGCGCGGCCAGCCGTGGGTCCCTTGCGCCCCAGTGCCTCCTCTTCCAAAGACCAGACAGGAGCCCCTCCCAGCCTCACGTTCATCCCTTTCCCTCCATCATCATTAGTTCCACATGTGGCCACATTCGACAGCACTGTGGTATTGGCTTCAATATCCCAGAGCCGACTTGCACCATGGATCCGAGGAGTCTGTGACCCAGTGAAGCAGCTGGGCTCCTGTGCCTGGCTCACATGAGATCCCCTCTCCCCCTCGCCCTGGCTTCTGCTGTGCTCTGCAAGACCACTCGATGGAGGGAGCTGGGGCTACTTCACAACTCAGGGGCCTGGGGAAGGTCCTCCTGGTGGAGAACTATGACCACCTGCCAATGGCTAGCGAGAGAGACACCGTGGGTTCCCACCAGGAGCCGGGTGAAGCACCAAGCCACAGGGGGACGCCCAGCCCCAACTGAACCTTCAGAGAGCTGGCAGCTCAACCACTGCCATTCATTCATTATTCCAATGACCCGTCCATCTGAGGTCTGGCTACACATTCATTATTCATGTTTACGCATGCACACATGTGTGTACACACATGCCCATGCAAAGGCACTGCAGGGATTCTGCCATGGGCACACGAAGGGACACACCAGAAAGCTAACCTCGGACACTCACATGTTAAAGCTTACAGCTGATTTTTCTCCTCCACTTTTTGTTTATCCTGAAATTTGTCTCCTAGGTTTAAAGAAATCAGAGGAGGCAAGCAGAAACCAAGACCCATCCCCCAGGCTTCTCCATCAGCCCACCAGCCTCCCCAGAAGATGCACGCGTACCTTGTTTGATGATGGGAGATGTAGGGCCCATCACGAATGAGAACATCTTCCCGCTGGCACTCATGGGCCTCCCGTGGGGACCTGGGGGGACCATGGTTGGCCGAGGGAAGCCCTGGGACCAGCTCCTTTGCACATAGGCTGGCTGGACGCCCGGATGGAAGGGGATATGTGTCGACGAGGGTGAGTGGTTCTGCTGTGGCGAGGACCGACACGGCTGCGGCCTTGTCCAAGGTGTTGGGCCCCTCGCCCACGGGAAGGAGGCCTGCAGGGCAGACAAGAGATGATTGTCAGCTGGAATGGTCTCCATCCCTTTGTTCTGGGGCAGAGAGCAGGCCTGTGAGACAGTGGCTTACGTTTGGCCACGCAGAGGACAGGCTCATATGGTCACGTAGGAGGCCGCTCTGGGTCATGAAGGAACAAGGCCAGCACGACCGGTCGGCTGAGATAAAATGACCATTAAACAGATAGGGAAATACTGGGAACTGTAACAGATCGGAAAGTTGCAAAACTGACAGCTCAAGGCTAGGCTAACAGAAGCATACGTCTGCTCCTGTCCGTGCCATCAACGCTTGAGACCAGAGACAGTCGGGGCTCAGCCTGTCGGGAGGGACCCAGGCTGACGGCCTTGGCAAAAAGAAAGCTTTTCCATAAGTGGCTATCAGCTCCCTGGCCACATCTGACTGCGTATCTTCCAGTTGACCTGCCGTGCTGGCTTTGTCCCTCCATGACTCAGGGCGGTTCCTGTGTGACCCAGTGGTCATTTTCTGTAACGTTTCCAGCTACGCATTTGAGATTCCTTGACCTCAGCTTATGAGTCACTTCCTCTAGGAAACCTTCCTGGACTCTCCTTAAGTTTAGGACGGTGGTCTCACCACAGGTCACACAGCACACTCTCAGTGCCAGTCATGGCTTGTGTCCCTCATACCAAGCACCTGCAAGAGAGTGGCGGCCGTGAGCTCAGCGCACACACCCAACCCTCTGGTGATGACACTGAGGCCGGGCCAGAGCAGGTGATTTTCTCTGGCAGCAAGAAGCTGCTGAACTGGCAGCATGCCACCTCTTCCGCCTGGCTCACTGTCATATCGGCAGCTCCTACAATGATCACAGGGCACACCTGCCGGGCGCTCACACACCAGCTGAACCAGACAGGGAGAAAGCTGCTGCCTCTGGGCCAGCCCTCTGGGACTCCTCAGATCCTGTTGAGGAGTGCATAGATGTGGCTGGAGAGTGTGCCCATGGCCTCTGTCTGGGATTCAGTGTGTAGGGGGTGTCATGTCATGCCTGTGGCTTAAGAGATGTCACTTATGGCACTGAGTGGTTCTGTTTGTCACAGCCATCCATTGGGAAAGGGAATCCTTAGTCCTACCTTGCAGACACAACTTGAAGTCACCCAAGCTCAGCGAGTGGGGAAGAGGGACAGGACAGAGAGGGGCCGGCTCTCCTTCTCCCTCCCTGCCCAATTCTCTGAACAGAGATGTTGCACTTTCCAATTAGGGTGCTCCGTTCAAGGGTTACACACACCTAGGCAGGGCTGCACCTGCCCGAGCATTGCCCCAGGCCTCCTGCTCCTCCTCCTTTGGCTGAAAGCACGTGAGCTTTCCCAGAGACGCAGAGAGAGGTGGAAGATAGTGCCCGCCCCAGACCAGGCCCTGGCAGACAGGCCTCCCTGTGTCTGAGTGGGGCTGTGGCCAACAGGCAGCTTCTCCCCTTACTTGGGACCCTGACCCGCTGTCCAGAGCCATCTTTCGCACAGCAGGGCAGGGCTCAGCAGCACGGCTCCCATGGCTGGCCACTCCCGGGCCCCTCTGGGCTGTCTCCACAAGGGAGCTCGGCAGTGCTCCGGGGCTCTGTCACTTCCTGTGAAGTTCTCTTCCTGGCCAGTATCTGCCATCCACCTTTCCTCTCTGCCCTCCCCTGGTTCTGAGATGGACACAAGCAGGACTCCCTGCCACCCTGCCTGATGCCCATGTCCCAACCCTAAACCAAGCAGGAGCACGAAGCACCTGGACACTAACTGCAAGAGAGCCCCTACCGCTCCCAGAAGAACCCCAACAGCTACAGGCCAGCACCCAGGGGGCAGAGACAGGCACAAACCAGTGTCAAGAACACTCAGCATGAAGTTTCCATTTTACCCATTTTTAAGTGGTCGCTTCAGTGGTGTCCAGTACTGTGGCTCTGCGACAGATTTCCAGGTTCCTGTTATCTTGCAAAAATAAAACTCCTATTCATAGTCAGTAGGTCGTCTCTCTTCCTCCCTCAAGCCCTCGGCAAGCACGGTTCCGATCGGCTCCAATCTCGGGCTCTAAGACTTTGGCCACTGCTATTCTCCAACATTCCGCTTTACCCAGGAAGTAGCGCGTGTGTGTGGCAGAGTCTCCCTCCTTCCAAGGCTGGGCACTGCTCTGCCGCCCTGATAGGCCACCTTGTATCTGTCTGGTCATCTTGGATGCACACAGAAGTGGTTGCTTCCCACTTCTGGCTACTGTGAACATTGTTGCAGAGACAAATACTGGCTGAGGCCCTGGCTCGGGTCCTGTCCAGCACTGCTCAGGGTGGAGGCTGGTTCGAGCTGGTTTGAGCTGACTCCACCACCTTCCAGGTCCTGAAAACAGGAACCCTGACGGGGAACATGCTAGAAACAGAAGGGCAACCAGCTCTGCCATCAGCTCACTGGGTTCAAACATTTTGAAAAACTTTTAGTTTTCTTAAGGCCCGTTCACTCAGCGAGGCTTTAGCAGGAAAGTTGAAGTTATTTTTCTGGAGCTGGCATTGTGGCACTACAGATTAAAACAGAGCTGGCAATGTCAGCATTCCACACTGAAGGACTGGTTCAAGTCCCGGCTGCTCCACTTCAGACGCAGCTCCTGCTAATGTGCCTGGGGAAGCAGCAGAGGATGTCCTGTTACCCACGAGGGACAGTAAGGAGCTTCAGACTCCTGGCTTTGGCCTGGACATTCGGGGAGTCAACCGGTAGACAGACGCTCATTCTCATCACTCTGTTTCAAATAAATGAAAGAGATCTTTGAGAACGAACCTTTCAGTACAATGAGGTTGTTTTTCTCTGCCTGGCAGGCCCACCCTGTCGTTAACAAGGTCCGGGGACACCTTTGGCTGTGGGTAGCCATCGGAGAGCAGGCAGGGGAACAAACGGACACAGGCGGAGAGCTGGCTCCTGGCTGTGCTCACGTTGCCACCACCAGGGAACTCGGGGTCAAGGTGTGTTATCGGCAGGTCTGCTTGTGGAGGGAACTCAGGGTCAAGGTGTGTTATCAGCAAGTCTGGTTTGGGAAAGTTTAGTTTAAAAAAATATCCACTACCATCTTTCCTCGCCAGTTCCTGCCCAGATGGCCCACGGCACGGTCGTGCTTGCTGTTTCTTGGTCTCGTGGCCGAGTGCCGTGTGTTCCTCCTGGTTTCCTCCATCTGACCCTGGATTAGCCGACTGCAGCACCAGGACGACACTCACGGCTGAGTTCCTATCAGCTTCAATAAACGCCCGTTACCGATGTACCCGAGGAACCAGAGCCATGGGTTCCAGATAATCTACCTGCTGCCGGGGCTATGGGGAGACGGCTGACAGGTGCAACCCTTGGGGAGCCTGGTGTGCCCTGAGGAAGGCCTGGGGGCTGCACATCAGGCTGAGCAGTGACTTTGCCCCTGAATAGCTCAGCTCAGCAGGGTGTCCAACTTCAGCTCCAGGCCCCACCGCAGACCCCCAAATCCCCAGGTACTCAAGTCCCTCTGCAACACAGTGTAGTATTAACACAGAACCTAGGCCTGTCTCCTGCAGACTTTAAATCATCTTTAAAGTTACCACACCTGACACATGTCACTGCTGTGTAGAAAATTGATCTCCTTATTTGTGTAGAGAATAACGACAAGGGAAAAAGTTTACTTGTGTTCAGGACAGGTGCAATTAAAAACTGCTTTGGCTCTGCCATTGGTTGGGCCGGTGGATAGGATGGGAAACCCACGGGCATGGGGGAATGAGTGCTGCCGCCCCAGCTGTGTGCTGCCAAGGCAGAGGGCCCGTGTGCCAGGGCTAGCTGCACGCTGCACATGCGGGGCTCCCCTCACAGTAGGCATTCTCACCTGCCATGCAGGGAGTTAATAAGAACCTGAAGCTCATGGGGGGTTGAGTGACCTGCCCCAGCTCCTGCAGGCAGGAAGTGGCACTGGTGTTTCATCTGAAGGCATTGCTGTAGTCATTTAAAATCATGATTTCAGGGCTGGCTTTGTGGTGGATCAGGTCAAGCTCATGTCTGCGAAGCTGGCCTCCCATATGGATGCTCGTTTGAGTCCTGGCTTCCCCCTTCCCAAGCCAGCTCCTTCCAATGCACCTGGAATGCAGTGGATGACAGATGGCCCTGGTGCTTGGGCCTCTGTCCCCCCTGAGGGAGACTCACAAATTGCACTCCTGGCTCCTGGTTTCAGCCTGGCCCAGCCCCGACCATTGTGGTCATTTGGAGAGTGAACCAGTGGATGAAAGATCTCTCTCTCTGTAATTCCACTTTTCAAACAAATTACTTGTTTAAAAGGCATGATTTATACCTGCTTTCTGTACTTCAGAAAGGTTGTTAGACAATTGGTTAATGAAGAATCAGAGATCTTCCCAGTGAAAGAATGAAAAAAACTGAAGAAAGAAAGAAAAGGGCCTGGAGAAACAGCTTAGTGGCTAAAGTCCTCGCCTTATGTGCACCAGGATCCCTTATGGGTGCCAGTTTGTATTCTGGCTGCTCCACTTCCCATCCAGCTCCCTGTTTGTGGCCTGAGAAAGCAGTAGAGGATGGCCCAGAGCCTTGGGACCCTGCACCTGCATGGGAGACCTTGAAGAAGCTCCTGGCTCCTGGCTTCGGATTGGCTCAACTCTGGCTGTTGTGGCCACTTGGGGAGTGAACCAGTGGATGGAGGATCCTTCCCTTTGTCTCCCCTTCTCTAGGTAGATCTGACTTTCCAATAAAAAAAAAAACTTTAAAAAGTAGTGGAACTCCTCAGAGGTTGTCTGGACCCCCTATAAGCAGGAGTCTCCTGGACACTGATCACTCCCTCAGAGAGGGGTCCTTCAGGTGGCCATGGGACAGGCCCTGGAGGTGCACTTGGGCAGGGCCAGGGCAGAGTCTCTGGCTCATGAGAACCAACTCTTACATGTGCAGGATTTTGTTGAGAGCATGGTGCTAAGCTCGGAATGTGTTCCCCAAACTTCTGGCATTAGGATCCTTACCACAAGGTCAAGGTGAGATGCCATCTGAAGGTGGAGTCTTTGGAAAGTCATGAGGACCAGAGGAGGTCACAGAGGGAGTCCCAGGCTGTGGATCAGCAGCCCCATGCGTCCAGTGCTGCAGGTAAGCGCAGCAACCTGGGGAGCCTGGGAGTGATGAGCAGGGCTGGGGTGGGGGAGCAGAAGAGACAACCAGCTCAGCGTGGTGAAGGATGCCATGGAGCCCACGGCCTGTGTGGAGCTGCACTCCATCTGCCAGACCATCTCTGGGGATGCCAGTGGCTCAGCACGGTGGGCTCACAGTGCCCGGGTGGCATGACTTCCAACTACTGCTGGACCCCCATGTGTGGCTCCCAGATGCCCATGTATGGCTCCGACTCTCACACAGCCATGTGTGCATTGCAAACGCTGCCCCAGGAATGGCAGCCACAGACCCACATTATGGCTTGTAGACAGCCCTGCCTGGCAGCATTGCACTCCTACCCTAATAGCCCCAACACGCCGTCACAGACTGAGGAAGAATACAAATACGACTTTGACGATGAGCCCATCCCTGCAGGCCTGCAGTGGAACTCCGAATCCCCAAGCATCTGGCTACCCAGACCCCTCGTCGCCACGCATCAAACCTCAGACGCTGGGGACATTGGCTGTGTACAACCAGTTCTGACCCTATGCTCCTTGCTCAGGGCAATGCTCCTTCCAGCCCAGCCCTATGCCCCAGAGCTACCACCAGGTGGTGCCAAGTCCTGCTGGCTACCAGAACACCCTCTGTCCAACCAGCTACAACCCTATACCCCCATGGCCTACCGCACTGGCCCCGACCCAAGTCTTGTTGCTCACAGGCCAGTGACACCCGGAGCTTCTCCCCTAGTGGCAACAGCGCTCACATGGGGGTGGTACGGGATGGAGACCCAGAACCATACATGGCATAGCATGCAGCAGAGCACCGAGCTGCCTGGGAAAGCAGCAGCCGCCTCTGCACTCTGAAAAGCACACACAGGTTTCTTAGAATGAAATCTAGCTCACTGTTCTACAACTCTTGCACGTAACTCCAGCAAATGTCCAGAAGAGGGCGCCAAGGCTATCGGAGCCTGAGCTTTCCAGCACAGTGGGATCTGTGCTGCCATGCAGGTACCAGGTCCTGGGCTGCCCCCTTCCCCGCAGTGCCCGGCTCACCTGGGGTGGGTTCTCGATGACCAGCTCATAGGTCAGCCCAGCGGACCCAAACCTCAGGATGTCCCCGGGGATCAGCTTCACGGCCACGTTCTGGATGTGACACTCATTGACAAAGGTGCCGTTGCGGGAATTGAAGTCCTGCAGCACAAAGCTGCCTTCGGCCTCGTTGAACTCGATGAGAGCGTGGTGGTTGTCGATGTCGGGGGACTGCAACGGAGAAGGGCAGTTTTGGCCGTAGTATAACAGAAGCCGTCCAGCACCCCCATCTCTCCCCATCCACATGGGGACGTGCCTGTGACCCCACAGCCCACATATTGAAAGAAGGGCGCTGAGGGTCAGACACAGCCGGTGGCTTGTCCGTGGCTGTGACCAGCTCTCTGACCCCAGACCTGGCAAAGGGAACCTGGGGAGCCCAGCAGGTGTGTACCCAGGGAGCTGCCACTTCCTGTCTCTCACCCGATGTGGAGGTGCTGCTTGGGCAGGACAGGAAAAGGAGATGGGACGATGCCCATGACCCGGCACAGACAATGTCCAAGTGTGGGGTAATAGGGCAGGTATTCTAGCTAAGAGGGTGTTGAGATTAATTTCTGGGGTTCATCTGTTTCTTCTTTGTATTTTTTAAGTGTGTAAAAACTGAGAAATGGAGAAAAGCACTTAGAACATGCAAAGATTAATGTATCAGCCAGGATCCCTGCCCCCAGCAGGGGAAGGCATGGTTAATGCACTCGACCATGTATGGGTGTCTTAAGAAGGTTTGTTTATGGCTATTTATTTGAAAGGCAGAAAGACAGAGAGAGCCCTTCTTCTGCTGGTTCACTCCCCAAATGCTCTCGGCAGCTGCGGCTAGGTCAGCTGAAGCCAAGAGCCCGAGATTCCGTCTGGTCTCCCCTGTGGGCGGTGGGGACCCTGTGAGTGCAGCATCACCACTGCCTCCTGTGTGTGCAGTGGCAGGAGACTGGAACTGGAAGAGGAGCCAGGACTCGAACCCAGCACTCTAGTGTGGGATTCGGGCATCGCAAGGAGTGTCTTAGCTGCTGTGCCGGGCACCCAGCCCTTCCGTCTGCTTCTATACTTACATCCTTTAAAAAATGTATAAATAAAATCACTCACACCTTACCTACACAGCTTTGCCATTACCTTTTAAAAAACTTTCCCACGCCACCAACTACTTCTTTTGCTTCTTAAAAGCCACTCTGAATCCATCCAATCGAAAGGATGGTGCACTTTCCAATGGATGGGGGGAGTGTTATGATTTTGTTTCGCCCAGGGAAAGTGGCCCTGGCGGGTATGTCTGGTTGTTGTTGTTGGGGGGACGGGGGCAGTGGACACTACAGGGACTCTGTAATTTCACCTGGGATAGAAACGTGAGCAAGTCCAGTGGCCAGGAGGTAGCACCACATCCCAGGGCTGCGAGGCCCAGGAGGGGAGAAAGCGTGTGGCCTGTGGGCTGCAGGGAAACCTTCCTCTTTTTAGGGCCCGAGACTTTGAGGTGATTTTCTGGGCTTATCTTCTCTTAAGTCCCTCGTTCAGATTCACACTTAGAAACCCAAACCCATCGTATAGTAATACCCAGGAGTTCACGTTCCTAATTGTGTAGGTATCAACATATTCATACATGTGGTAGAGCAATACTATAACATTAATTAAACATTACATCGCTAGGAGGTTTGCTGACTGCTTCACTGCACTGTTGCATCTCTTTCTTCATGACAAGCCAGAGATAATTTTCTGTTTTATACATAAGGAAACGAAGACACAGAATGACTGAGTTTATGCAAAGTCCCCCAGCTGGCTAAGCTTGGCTGGCACCCAAGCTCGCTTCATTCAGATGTCTGTGTTGTCTATCCACATTGCATGTTTCCACCAAATACTTTGGCACCCACAATGTGAAAACAAAAGAAAGTTGGAACGCAGTGTTATCCGCAGCCAAAACAGACTTTAGAACAAGAAAACTTGTGAGTGATGAGGAGCATTCCATGATGAGGAAAGGGACTAGTTCTCCAAGAAGATGCAACAGTCCTTAATATGTACGCACCCAACAACAGAATGTCAAAATACAAAGGGCAAAAACTGATGGAACAGGTGCACTGCAATAGCAAATGCTTAGAGTGCTGCCTGTCAGAAATGGACAGATCCAGTGGGCAGGTCAGCAAGGACGCAGCTGACCTGGGCAGCACCATTAAGCAGCCAGATAAAAGGCACATTTTTACATGGGATACTCACTGAGATGGACCACATTCTGAGGTGGACGACACCCCAGCCAACTATAAACATCGTAGAAAATGCTCTCACAGCATGACGCAATAAAACAAAACAAGAGGGCTGGAAAACCCATACACATTTGGTGAAAGAAGAAGACATTTCTAAATAATGCAAGGCTCAAGGAGGAACCACAGGGAACCAGGGACAGAAGAGCAACTCCCAGCGCAAGCAGAAGAACAGAAACAAACACAAGAGCAGAAATGAATGAGATTGAAAAGAGGAAGGTTGGCTCTTGGGGGGGATGCACAGGATTGACAAGCCTACAGCAGGCTAGCTCAGAAACAAGGAGGGAAGACACAAGTGGCTATGATCAGATGAAGAAGCTGGCGTCAATGGGAGGAAAAACAACCACAGACACTTCTCCATCTGCAGCATGGATGTCTTGGCGGAAACAGACCAACCAGTTCCTGAAAAGACACAATCTACCAGAGCTCCCACAAGGAGAAACAGATGTTCTGAATGGGCCCATATCCATTAATGAATCAATAACCTGTTGCTTTCAGGATAGAAAACATCAGACCCAAGATGGGCTTACTAGAAAGTTCCACCAGGGAAGAAATGGTCCTACTTTCCTGTGATGTCTTCTAGAACACAGGAGTGGAGAGAAGACTTCCTCACTCATTCTATGAGGGCACTAATCCTGTAGTGCCAGAACCTGAAGAAACCATAGCAAGCAAAACCAAATCCAGTCTCTCGCAAACACAGATGTGGAAATTCCAACCAGTAAGAGCATATTGAACCAACAAGGCACTGGAAGAATGATACCAGGGGCTGGTGCTGTGGCTCATCAGGCAAAGCCACTGTCCGTGATGCTGATGTCTCCATAACCATTCATCCCACACGAGTCCTGGCTACTACACTTTTGATCCAGCTCCCTAATAAAGTACTTGGGAAAAGCAGTGGAGGATGGCCCAAGTACTTGGGTGCCTACACCCATGTGGGATACCTGAAAGACGCTCTTGGATTTGAATCGGGTCAGCTCAAACTACTGGATAGAAGATCTCTCCTTCCTCTCTCTGTGACTGTTTCAAATAAGTCTTTTAAAAATAATAATTCATAGCAACCAAATGGGATTTATTCTAATTTATCTGAAAGGCAGAGAGAGGGAGAATGGGTTTATGACTATGAGTACAATGGAGCACACTCCCTTATCCTAGCTTATGCCCACATGCCCACAATGGTTGGAACTGGGCTGGGCTGACGAGAACTCCCTCCAGATGTATCACACAGGAGGTGGATCCCAACCACGCCCAGCATCAATATTAACAGGAAACTGGAGTCAGGGAAGGGAGCCAGGAACTAAGACTCAGGCACTCCAACCGGGGACACAGGTATCTCAACCACTTCCCCCAAAGCCAGCCCCAGACGTGAAAGTTCAGAAAAGTCAAAACAAGGGGCTGGGGTTATGGCTTGTCAGTCTAATGTGCTGCTTTTTTTAAAAAATATATATATATATATTTCTTTTATTGGAAAGGCAGACCTATTGAGAGAAGGAGAGACAAAGAAAGATCTTCCTTCCATTGGTTCACTCCCCAAGTGGCCACAACAGCCAGAGTTGAGCCAATCCAAAGCCAGGAGCCAGGAACTTCTTCTAGGTCTCCCATGCAGGTGCAGGGTCCCAAGGCTTTGGGCCATCCTCTACTGCTTTCCCAGGCCATAAGCAAGGAGCTGGATGGGAAGTGGAACAGCCAGGACATGAACTGGCACCCATAAGGGATCCTGGCATATGCAAGGCAAGAATTTAGCCACTAGGCTATTGTGCCAGGCGCAAGACTGCCTTCCCATATGGGAGTTGTGTCAAGTCCCAATTGGTCCGCTTCTAATCCAGCTCTCTGCTTATGGCCTGGGAGAGCAGCAGAGGATGGCTTAAGTGCTTGGGCCCCGGCACCCATGTGGGAGACCCTGAAGAAGCTCTTGGCACAGGGCTTCAGCTTGGCCCAACCCCATCTGTTGTTCCCGGAGCCCTGACTAACAACACATCCTCAGACCAACTCCACGCTTTGCATTTTGTCTCCCTCTTCCCATTTTCTGGCACTTTCTAGGAACTGCCAGGAAGGGGGTGCTGCAAGGGAACTGGGAGCTGTGGGGCCTGCAGAGCACAGCGTGAGCCTCTGCATGCGCTGGGCTGTGAGTGCTCCCCAGGGATGCCGGGTGATGCCCCTCCCTCCCGCAGGTGGAAAACTGCATGGAACTCAGACAGCTTTGGAAGCCTATAGTCACTGTGAGCGCAAGCCCTTCGTTGTGCCACGCTACTGTGGGATCAATGGCTTGGCTGTTATTATTATTATTAAAGATTTATTTATTTATTTAAAAGGCAGATTTCTTCGGGGGAGGGGAGCAGGGATCGGTCTTCCAGAGACTAGCTCAGTTCCCAAATGACCACAGCAGCTTGGCTGTGCCAGACTGAAGCCAGGAGCCTGGGACTCCAGCTGGGTCTCTGTGTGAGTCCAGGCATTTGAGCCATTTTCTGCTGCCTTCTGAGACACAGCAGCAAGCAGCTGGACTGGAAGCAGAGCAACTGGAACTCACATGAGCGCTCACGGGGGATGCCAGCACTGTAGGTTTCACCCTAAGCCACAACACAGGGCTCTGTTTTATTATGAAATATTTTAAGAGTTGCCCATGGACTGGGCCCCGCTGAGCTTTCTCAATTCCTTCCTCTCCTTTGCAGGCTGTTCTGCCATGATCCCTATTTTACAGGCCAAGTAGCTGAGACTCCAACTTATGCCAGCGGCCAGCAGATCCTGCCTGCAGAAACCAACCAGCGACGTTGCAAGAAAACTCCTGGCCAGTATCCCTGGTAAATGTTGATGCAAAAATCTTCAAAAATACCAGCAGGCAGAATCCAAGAGCCCGTCCAAAGGATTATGCAGCATGACTAAGCGGATTCCATCCCTGGAAGGAAAGAATGGTTAAACACCCCACAGGAAAGGAGGGAAAAGCCA